GGGCCCGCCCCCCCCCCTTGGGTGGGCCCAGAAAAAAAATTGGGCTCAAAAATTTTTTGGGCCAAAAAGGCCTTAAGGCCCCAAATAGTGGGCCTTTTTGGTCATAACTGGGCCTTTTAAGGCCTTATTTTTTAATTTCAGGCCAAATTTTGAAGAAAATGGGCCTCAAAATTTGGGCCCACTTTTTGGTTTCAGGGGCCCCAAATTTTTTTCTGACCTGAAATTTGGCCCCCACCCTCCTTGTTGGTTCTCAGATCCGACCCTGCCTTCCCCCCATTTTTGATATTTTTGTTGTCTAGAAGTGTTCTAGACGATATCAAAGTTTAAGAAAATGTGTATGTCTCGAAATATTTTGAAAATTAGTGCCATTATGGCGGGTCTGGGTGTTTTTTGCTCTCATTTTTACCCATTTCCACGGTTGCAATGGTAACTCATACCTGCCAACCTACCGTATTTTTACCGCCATCTACCATAAAAAATAATATAAATACCGTAAAAAATTACTGTTTTTTCTTGTAAAACAACCGAAAAAATCTACTGTAATTTTACCAAAATCTACCATAAAATATTTTATTATAATTAGATTTTTTCTATAAGAAAAAATATACCGTAAAATATACCGTAAAATATACCGTAAAATATACCGTAAATATTTGAAAATCTACCATATTTCTGCTTGAATTAACAGTATTCTTGTTCAAACTACCGTAAAATCTACCGCAATTATCATTAAATAATGAAAAATTGAATTCTTCTTGTATTGCCCTTGTAAAATTCCATTACCAACCCGAAAATAAATAGGTGCCGGCAGGTCTTTGATGGTGGTTATTGCGTACTTAGTAAGTAACTAAGTAAGCTGGCATGTAATCAATCAACACACTGGGGAATAAACAGTGTTCAACTACCACAGGTGTATCACAGGAAGAGTAATCATGATTAATTTGTAAATTGCTACATTGTAGCAATGGTATGAGTATGATGTCACAGTACACTGGGGCCTAACTGGCGTAAAGGGGGAGAAAAAGGGCAAATTTTGCACATGGGGACCACATTTGACTCAAAATATTTGCATTTAACAACATACGTTTCAGTACATTCTGTGTATGATTTCAAAATGAAATAATCTCGGGGATTTTGCGTCTAATTTTTTTTGCATGAGATCTCTGAAGTTGATAACCCAAGTTTAGGTCATTTTGGCCAGTTTTTAGAGACTCAGCCCTCACCTATTTCCCCAAATATGACTAGATTTTGTAGAAAATGTGTTAAAAGTTTGAAAATGCAGCCGTTTTGAGCATGAAATAACTCAATTGTTTGAAAAAATGCTGAATGAGCAAAAATTATCATAGTAAAATTTCCCCATTTTTGGATATTAAGGTGTTACTACGGTAAATACCACTTCCGGGTAGTGTTTTTTAATACTTTAAAAACGAAGCCATGAAACTTCAATGGTGTGTCACGCGGTAGGATCTCTTCGGGACGTATCGAAACCACTCCGTCCCGAAAAAACCGTTAATTTGAATTTAAAACCTACCCCAGTGTTTGAAAATCAAGGATTGTGAGTCTCACACTCCACCGTTTTTCTTCAAACTTGTTCCGTACAAAGCTTCACAGAAATACCTTTCAGTCGATACATTGTTTTCGTGTACAAAGTACCTCGTTTTAGCGGCGTTTTGGTCCCCAGCTGTGAGATAAAGCAAATTTTCATAACTTTCAACTGTAAGTCAAGTTATCTCGCCAGTCTTTTACCCATTCTCGCCCATAATTTCAGAATGGACTCCCATTACAACCTTCCATCGCTACGTCTTGATTTTTGGGCATCAAACGCAGCAGTTTCTAAATCATCCACACATCTCTTCAAATTTGACCAATACGCCCCGTCATCTTCCACTACGCCCCGCCGAGTCTATCACTATACACGTAGAGTTGCATTCTAAAACACTTTGTCCATCGATGTGTCCGTTTGTAGGTTGCCATTGTCGATTCTAAATACCAATCGGATTGTGTTTTAAGATTTACCCATTCTTGTCCATTTTCAATATACCTATTATAGGGTGGTCCAAAATCTCCCTAAAATTTAGATTTCCCGATATTGCAATATAAAGATTTTAATTACTGAACAATTGAAAATATTTTTAAGAAACGTTTAAAGTGCCCTATCCTTGAAAAAATGTGAAAATGCGAAAGGATGGGTGATGTCAATTATATTATTTTCAGCATAACGTTAGAAACATGTATCATTTTATATGGTACACGTTTCATAATGTAATCCAATGGAATCATACAGAAGAAAGGTTGACACACAACAGTTAAAATCTTTATATTACATTATCAGACCAAGTCAGTAGATGTTGTTTATATACCAATTAGTGTTGTATGATGATGCATTCTTTATATGAATCTAGAAACGTTTTTGTGCCAATATTGCTCATTTTGATGACATCTTATATCTCCGTTATTTTGAAATTAAGCGTGGCAAAGTTTCCCGATGGATTTAGCTAAAAAAAAGTGGTGCCTGTAGGGTTATTGAAAATCATACATGATGAAGAAAAAATACATATTCCTGAAATACAACAGTTTAATTTTGAGTTGTAAACCATTTATGAAAACGGCATATTTGTCAAAATTACCAAAAGTTCAAGCGAGACGCGTGGCAAAATTTCCCAGGGGTCTAGAGTGGAAATATTTGTACCAAGAGTCAATTTGTAACTAGAATCTATCAGATGACAGATTTTTGGAAAATTTTGCAGATTTGGACAACCCTAAACCTATAACTTTGTTGAACTTGAAGAAACGTATCAACTTTTTGTTAAATAAAGATAGCAAATTCAGCTGTCTACTGTACCTAACTTGTACTTTTTGCTAGTACTCAGATTGATGGATATTCTGTCGTATGACATGCGACAAACACCGGTGTAAAAGCGTAGGTGGTCCTATCAAATTATGGTCCTAGTCTCTATTGATTTATATGGTGACCTGATTACAATTATTTTCCTTATTATTTATACACAATCAGGACCAGAAAGGGCCGTTAGGAAAGGGGACCATAATTTCTTTCACACCGGCTTTGTTAGTACTTTGCCTTGGATGTCATACAGTACATTTACACTGTGGCATGATGATGAACTTAGAAAATATGTATAGTCATGACAAAATGTTCTTTGTGATATAATATTGTATAGCATCATTCTGATACGTATTACATGTTTATGTTTAGTGCATAAAATTCATAGCCAGATCAAAAATTCGGAGAGAATACGCTGGACGATAGAATATTAAAAACTATAAAAACATTCTTCATAGAATTAAGCAAATAGTGTTATTATCATTTAAGTAGTAACTGCATATGTTTAAAACCACTCTGTTTAAATACTACCCTTTGCATTCGTTTGACTTCACTTCTTAAAAGAGAGATTCGTCTAGTTTAACTAGACTCTGCGCGCAGGGTATTTAAATACAGGTAAATAAATAAATATGATGCAATGAAAATTAAAGTTAAAAAGCAACATCTTCACAAACATTTAAATTATCAATTTCATGCAATCAGTTATAGTTATACTCTGTATGTATGCTAAACTTAAGACTGGTGTAAAGAATCGACCGAGGCAAACCTATGTAAAATTACACATCGATGAACAAAATGTTTTAGAATACAACTCCACGTTTGTAGTCATAGACTCGGCGGGGCGTAGTCAGTGGAAGGTGACGGGACGTATTAGTCAAATTTTAAGAGATGTGTGGATGATTTAGAAACTACTGCGTTTGATGCCCAAAAATCAAAACGTAGCGATGGAAGGTTGTAATGGGAGTCCATTCTGAAATTATGAGCGAGAATGGGTAAAAGACTGGCGAGATAACTTGACTTACAGTTGAAAGTTATGAAAATTTGCTTTATCTCGCAGCTGGGGACCAAAACGCCGCTAAAACGAGGTACTTTGTACACGAAAACAATGTATCGACTGAAAGGTATTTCTGTGAAGCTTTGTACGGAACAAGTTTGAAGAAAAATGGTGAAGTGTGAGACTCACAATCCTTGATTTTCAAACACTGGGGTAGGTTTTAAATTCAAATTAACGGTTTTTCGGGACGGAGTGGTTTCGATACGTCCCGAAGAGATCCTACCGCGTGTGTGTATAGTAGGTTTAAGTGTATGCAATGTGGCCATTTGAGGTATGTATGTAAAGCTGAGGCCAATTACTTTCTAAATGTGCCATTTTTAGAAAAAAATCGCAAGAATATAGTCCCGTAAACTTGAACTACTTTATTCGTTAATTTTCATCGGTGAAGCAGGGATTTTACCTAAAAATGAGTCCCTGTGTTGGCGTAGTGATATTTAAAAATCAAGACGCAAACCCTATGTTAAATATATGGTCAAGATGAAGGTCATGTATAGGGGAACGCAGAAATATAGTTCTTGTATGGGCTAATTCGTTCGAAAATGGCGATATGTATCCCAGAACCTGAATTTTGTGATTTTTCAATATTTTTCAATGATTTACCGTAGTGACACCCAAATGGAAATATAAACACTTCCGGTAAATATTCGGTTCAAGTGCGAGTTTGGACCAACTTTTGCAAGTTTGACCAGGAAATCACCTTTCATTTGGTATGTTAGTAACATTTTTGATCGTATTGGGTATGTAAGAATCATATACACGTCGAATTATTAGCATAAATGTCTCAGTTTGAACGATAAATGAAAATATAACACTTCCGGGAAATTTTGTCACAAACGCCTTATGGACTTTTCTCTATTATATTCCCTATATTTTTAGAATATACCATTGATAGTGCTGACTGTGACTGAAACAAATGAATGCTAAGCTTACGAGACCTCAAAAGACCGTGCTGTATAGATCTATAGCTTGGATGACAGAAGGAATGGTTAATATAGACCACTATGAAAATACAAATAACCACTTGAACTCTTAATAACCGAAAAGTAGTATCAAAGTGCCTTGTTATAAGCTATTCAAAATGTAAAGTCTAATAAATTTTCTTACCAAAGTTTGGCGGGATTTCCTACAGTAGTTTGGTTTCCTCCGGTTCGACTAAATTTTTTGTACGCAGGCGTACAACTTTAAAATTTTGATTGGCCAATATAGATTATTCCCACCTTTCCTTACTAGAAAACTTGTGGCCTTCGCTCTCGATATAATCTGCGCATGCGCTGTAAGGCTGTACACGTTTCCACAAAATTTTATTTCCAGAAAATAAAATGGGTAAGTTTACCAATTTTTCTTGACTTTGAGGCATAATATCAAAATGCGATTTGTTCACAAACAATAATGAATCTCTGTCTAATGGGAAGACACGCAATTTTAAACTCGACCCTTTGGTCGTTCAGGAACTCAAGGATTCTAAATCAGCATTTAAAAAAATTACAACAAAAATTGAATACATATTGAAATAGTTCTAACAAAAGTACAATACAATACAATAATATGATACAGTCTAGATCTAGGCCCTATAATTATTATTATTCATACTATCTTTGTGATTTTGAATGCTTAATCACATAGAATATATAGCATTTATGTACAGGGAGGTTTCGGCGGGATTTCGTCCGGGAACAGGATAAGGTTCTCATCACAGGAATTCGTCTAGAAGGAAAAAGAAGTCAATAGACAATAAGTATAGAAAACTAAATCCCTGTGGTTTTCATTCTTGAGGGACCGAGGGGATACACATATTTGAGACCCTATCTGTTGCAAGACTTATGCCTGGCACAACCGTCACCATGTTGTAAATTTTTCAGTTTCTGTCCGATAGTCGAAAAATCAATTTTTAGAAAAAGTTCAAATGCCTCAATCGAATCATTTGGTCTACGACTTATTTTTTTTAAGTCAAATGTGCCTATTCGCCTAGTCAGTAGGCAGATTCTGGAAAATGGATTCAATGCACTCAGTCATTTTCTTGAGAAAAGTTTCTCCTCACCCTCTGTTCAAGTGACATCAGATTCGGGACAGCATCTTTTCCATTCAGTTGAGGTTGGGCCATTCAATTGAGTTTGGGCCATGTAGCCAGAGGTAAGCTATACAACCAAATTTTGCTGATTTAATCTGATGGAGAATGCCGAGTCTCTCTTTTTGACCAATTAGAGATGCCCTCTTCACATTCGTGGTGCCCTCGGCCAACTTCGTTTGCAAAAATCTTTGGCAGTATCCGGCTTTTCTTGAGGTATCTTCGGTTACAAGCCAAAAGTCGACACCCCGTCAGATTCCAAGAATTTGCTAGAATTCCATGAATGAACTATGGTTAAATTTTCAAAGTGGTGATAAATATCCAAAATAATAAATAAACAGATTCAAATGTGATAATCCAGTTTACAAACTATTCTAAACATATGTAATTTCACATGATATGATGAATGTAATTAACTTACTTCCTGCGAAAGCTATGTGGATTTTGATATAATAGCTTTCCCACGGCGCACTTTGACAGCTGAAATAATAGTGACCTTTAAAACATGAATAAAGATTTCCGCGGCTTACTTTTGGTCTCTAACTGTGTCTTACATCAGTATCATCAATCCGTGCAAGTATTGGAGCGCTGGAATACTTCTTTTTCGATCAAGACTTGTAAATTGTTCATCGAGTGAATGTTTTTTCGACCCATATCCAATATGGCGGTTTGCTAGGAGCGAGATACGCAACGAACGAAATGAATTTTGAAAATGATTAAGGCAGAAAGCGCCATATTGGAATTTGGCAGTAAAAACAGTCACTTGACTAAGAATTACAAGTCTTGATCGAAAAGGAAGTACTTCAGCGCTCCAATACTTGCACGGAAGGATGATAATGTTGTATGACATAGTTAGAGAACAAAAGTAAGCCACAGATCGACTTAATTCCTGTTTCAAAGGTCACTATTATTCAGCTGTCCATTTCTCCGTTTGAGAGCCATAAGTTTCAAAATCTAACATGGCTCTCGAAGTGAGTAATAATTAACAATCTCAAGTATAATGGTCAAGTTTACAAAATATAATGACTTGTCATGTCATGTAATCTTTTTGAATCATCCACCATTTTGAAATTTAGAGAATTAAGAATAAGAAAATGTAATTGGACATAATTCTACTCAGCTCTCTGATGAAAGTTAGGAGCTGTAGATAAGTCATGGGACAAATTTATTATATATGGGGGTATAACTTAAGAATACGGCCATTAATGAGAAAATAAATAGATTTTTCGACCGTAGGACAGCAACTGAAAAATATTTTATAAGTGTTTTAAGTTGCGCAAGGATCCTGCCATGACCGTGGTAGTGTTATCGTGAAAGCCTGGTATAACCTTGACAATGTTATATTGTATTGCACGGCTTGTCATGACCGTGGTAATGTTAAAGCCTGATATGACCAAGGGCGTTACAATACCCGGGAATTTATCGGTTCGTGCAGTACTTGTTTGTGATAGCGCCCTCTGTAGGTCACTGTGCTTAATAGCCTACAGTAATACGGGGTAGGATATCGGGAATTCGGTCAGTTTCTATCCGTCGATTACGCTATGAATTGAAGCAAGTGTGACCACTTTATCCACTTAAAAATTTTATAATGGATTAAATCTTTAAACAAAATCGATAAACACGTTATACACTTCCTATCTCCTTAGAAATTAGCATGTATTTATGGATTGTGTTTTCGAACAATGCTCGACCCAGACCAATAGGGAAATCATTATGCTAATTAGTGTGACGTCATATTTTCCTGGGGAATCCTAGATTTCAAAGCCTCAGTCTGTTATTGTGTCAAATGTAAACGCTCTTTTGCAGACAGAAAATTGACAGATTAGCTTTTAACTTTCAGCTTTGATGTTTAAATATTCTGTATTTCTACCGGACTTCTTGCTGAATATCATATACTGTTATAACTTGATTTGGACCATTGCCTGATTGATCATTCTGAAATTTTGATTGTGATTCATGATTGATTGGCAAGAAAAATAATTCCTATTGTTTTCCAGCGAAGTCAAAATGTTACAGCATGAGTTATAATGTCGAGTTTGCATCATGTTAAATTCTGCTAGTGCACAAGCATACACATAAGAGACAAACACACCCAGGCTCCAGGCCATGGATGGAAATATAAAACTATTTAAGGCACAAACTGGTATTTAATAGACCGATATGTAGTGTCTGCCATGTATTGGAGGTAAACAATCTGCATTATTAATGTTACTTCTATCAATACATGGATTGTGCAATGGAAAAGCAATGGCACAATCAAAAATGTGCATATCAATCGTGCATATCTCTTGGTTCAAAGCTTATTTCCAACAGAATCGTGTCAAAATATGTGTCTGAGTAACAGTTATACATTATAAGATCGCAAACTCTGACCAACTATCAGCCGAATGGCTCATTTTCAACGAAATGTCCTTAAGACAACAGCCCTGGGTCGCACCTGAGACCAAAAACTATTTCAAATAGCCCTCCCCTAAATATATTGGATAATCACATTTATGCATGCGCGCGCAGCTCATCCACTGAACGAAACGCCGCTGAAATCACTGGGTATTGATCTTTCCCTTGATATGACTGCGACAATCCTATATTAAATAAGGTCTGATATGACCATGACAATGTTCACATTCTTGAATGAGAAAAATTGCCTCGAAGTGGGTCTATTTTTGAAAGAAAAACACTATAGATGTGGGTCCATTTTTAGACACAAAAATACCTAGATGTTGGTGGATATTTTGAATCTCAGCGACACCCCCTCTTAAATGGATTTGCCTATAGACACCTAAGACTCTTATCTCAAGAATGCTGTCTTTAATTTGGCGATTTTGTATTTTTGGGCCTATTGGCCTATTTAAAGTGTCTTTCTAAGACTTAGAAGGAGAAATGTGAGATTTCGAGCCATATGTCTCAAGAAAATGCTCTTACCTTTCTAGTAGGATGAGTTCAGGTGCCAAAAACAGCTGATCAAAGGATATATATCATTTTCTAATTGAAATTTTTTGTTGAGCCCTGCATTTTTAACACTGTTTTGACAGGAAGTCATACCCAAAATGAAAACTGAATAAAACAACATTTATCCTAAATGTAGATCAAAATACTTACTCAGACATGCAAAATGTTATAATTAGTAGTAATGCTGATCATTTTTAAGAAATTTAAGCATGTAAATAAGACTTTTTTCGTCCATGATTATATGGATAAAGAATTTCTTCAATCAGGAAGCTTTGGCAGTTTGGTGTAGTGGTTAGAGCTTTGGGCTCAAACAGGTTTTTATTCCAAAAGATCTGGGTTCAAATCCCTCTGGTGGAATGTGTTTTTATTCTTTATTTTTGTTTTTTTTCATTTTGATCCACAATATTTCTAAAATAAATCTTTATATATGGCACTTAAACCATATTTAGTATTTCCAAGGGTTTTAATTTTTAGATGAAATCATAGAAAGTTACTTTAATGTGGTGGTTTTTCAAGTGTCCCCAACATCCTCCTGTCTTACCCAATTTAAGATAACCATTGTTGTTAGTGTTGTTGATGAACAATTTCTTCAATATTTCTTGTTGTTCATATTTTCTTCAATTTTTCTAAATTGTTGTTTCTATAACTTTTAATGGCCCAGGCATCTTGGTTGGTATCTTTCTTACAACTGAAGTGTACCGAACAAAAAACAGGGATTTTGGCATGGGCTTTCAATTAGAAGGGTACCGAGTTTTAAATTTAGCAATTTTTTAAATTCGCCATTTATGAAGATAAATACAGTAGAATGCATAAACGAAGCTAAAGATTTGGTATTTTAGGCTCAAAATCTCTAAAATCTCAATGATTCAAACCACAATAAACAAACCTAGCAGAGATTGCCCCACCTTCATTCTATTTAAATGTGAACTCAACCTCGTGAGAAATGGATCATACTGGTGGTATGGAGCCTTTGAGACATTCATTTTTGGCTCACACAGTGAGCCTATGGGATCGACCAGGCGTCCAACCGTCCGTTGGTCCGTCCATTGGTCCATCCGTCCGTCAACATTGGCCGCACAAATTAAAACTGCTATTCTGATTGAGTCATATCTACAGTTATTTTATGCATATTTGACCTATCATCGCCATTTCCCAAGTTCGGCCGGTTTCCGAGAAATGGCTGATTTTGACATCAAAAAGTCAAATTTTCTGTTAATACTAGACACTTTGTTGAAGTAGAACTTTTAGTAGTTGCTGTATATCACTGCCCCCAGGATTCCGTGTTTGCAGAGCGCGGACGGAATTTGCCTCTGCCCGCGGAATTGCAGAATCAACTATTTTGGTCAATTTCTGCAGAATTTTCCGCAGAATCCATATATTTTCCAAAAGTTTAAAAAGTCAGTCTTACCTGTAACAATTTGACACGTTTTCAGTCAAATCCCTTGCAGAAATAACCCAAATTATGCGAAGTGAAAATTCTAAACGCCATCGTTTGATTTCTGCCGTTAGATGGCAGCATGTATCAGCATGTATGTAGTGACTGACTACCTGACTATCACGATATTTTCCCGTTTACTGGTTCGAAAACCATTAGTTTTTCTTTCGGTTCTCGTCAGAAAGTTAAACAAAGACATAAATTAATAACAGTTATTTATATTATATAAAAAAATGCCGCGAATATCCGCGGAATTTCTGCAGAATTAGCCCTTTCTTCTTGCAGAATTCACTAATTTCACTTGCAGAATTGAGCATTTTAACTTGCAGAAAACTGGGGGGAGTGGTATATGCAACTTATGTCCTCTGAAGTTTTCAAAGCTCTGGGAATTACAGTTTTTGACAAATTTGACAAAAAAGTAGGACTTAGTCATTTTCAGGAAACTTTTAGTAGTTGCTGTATATGCAACTTATGTCCTCTGAAGTTTTCAAAGCTCTGGGAATTACAGTTTTTGACAAATTTGACAAAAAAGTAGGACTTAGTCATTTTCAGGAAACTTTCTTATGTATAAAGTCAATGTCAGGTTTTGTGATTGACAAGTTTCTCAAAGTTTGCCTTATACTTGCTCATGTCTTGCAATGAATTACATCATTACTAGATTTAAGCATTCCCTACATATTGCTCAATATATGTCAGCATCAAATTTTTACCATTTTTGAGATATTTGACGTCAAAAAACACTAAAAATAAGTTATTTTTCAACTTGCTTCAATTTGACCAAATTTTTTTTGAAAATCATCTACAAGTTGCCAGGAGTTAAAATCTGACATTAGTTTTAGGATTTGACCTTTACTTGACCTTCAGTGACCTTTGAAAGGTCAAAAAAGTTGATTTTTGGATGTAAATTTTGGTCAGCTTAATCACAAAATACCTTACTGAGCTCTAAATAAGTAAAATTTTCAAGGTCAAAGGTCATCAAACTAGGTCACACAACTGTGCTGTCTAAGTTTCTCAAAGTTCGAGACTACAAATCCAAATCAATATTTTTGTTTGAAAGTCAGGATATACATTCCTCTGAAGGTTCCAAACTGTGTGAGCACAGGACCATGGATCCTATTTTTGTAAATATAATTTACAGGGCATATTTTTCAGCAGTTTTGGGAGATTTTTGGATAGGACATTCATGAATCCTCGATTATTTTCCGTGAGCATTTTAGGTTCATTTGTGCACATTTTGTGAAAATGTGATAATGTGGACTTAACTGTGGAGAGTGAGACTGGTCTTTTTCGTATATACTCAAAATAGCATCTTCCAACATTGTATAAACCAGAAAGTGAGTTCCATTTTTATCGCACTTTGAAAAAGTGCTATATTGTCGTCGTCTTGTGCTGTTGGGCGTGCGTGCGGGCGGGCGGCACATTAACCAAATCTTGTCATCAAATTTCCAGGATAACTGCTTACCTGTTCAACTTGAAATATTTACAGATGCAAGAGCAGACTAGTACCAAGATCTAACTAAGGGCATGCTGGGTAAACTACGTGGCGGCCATTTTGAATTTTTCAACAAATCTTGTCATTAAAATTCCAGGAAAACCACTTATCCGTTCAACTTGAAATTTTTACAGATGCAAGAGCAGACTATTGCCAAGATCTGATTAGGTTTTGGGTATGCTGGCTGAATAACATGGTGGCCATTTTGAATTTTTCAACTTGCTCCAAATTTTTAAAAACATCTACAAGTTCTCAGAAGTTCAAATCTGACCTTAGATTTCAGATTTGACCTTTCGTTGACCTTCAGTGACCTTGAAAAGGTCAAAAAAGTTGATTTTCTAAATTGATATTTTGGATTTAAATTTAGGTCCGCTTAATTACAAAACACCTAATGGTGTACTGAAATGGTAAGTCACTTTTAATCCCGATAAGAGAACGCATGTAACATTATATCGTGTTCAGTATTCAGTAGGCTATGACGATAACAAATCATTTTTGTTTCGAAATTGTTAAATTTCAGTAAAAAATTAGGATAGATTCCCGTAGAAACGATAGGTTGGTAAATGATAGGTTAGGACCTAAAGCAGGACAATTAAACGAGAGGAGACGGTCATGCCCAATTTGTTTGCTTGCCATTCGTTGCAAGGTACAAAATCGGTAAAAAATGTTGCCTAATCCAACGATTGACATTCAAAATCAAATTATTAATATTTTAAGGCTACAAATAAGTTCGGTCTTTTACATGATATTTCGGTCTTTTACACATTTTCTTCAAACCCTGTTTTGAGGCTACCAGTGGAAAACACCGATCGGTCGGTGGTCGGTGGGGTCGGTCTTTTTCGTAAACCCAAAAATATTCATATATATACAGTAATGGTAATTTGGTGTAAACTGATCATGAATCAGATATGGTATTTAGAAGTACTCTTGAAGTACCTATATACATAAATTGTTGATTCCATCATGGGCTTTCAATTTAGATAATAATAATCTAGTTGAAAGCCCATGATTACATGTATAAATATTTCAGGTGGCCTACTAAGTTACTTCAGTGGATTATTTGGATCAAAGGAACGGAGAATCCTTATTCTTGGACTCGATGGAGCTGGAAAAACTACAATTTTATACAGACTTCAAGTTGGGGAGGTTGTCACTACCATTCCAAGTAAGACAGATTTAGAGCTGTAGGCAATTCATTCATATTTTAGTAAAAGCAGTAACTTAGACATATAACGTGCTTTATTGGTTATGGTTGATCCAGTTTATTGAAATAATTTGGCCAGCTCTGGGCATTCCCCCTTATGTTTAAACTGAAAAGCTTAGGCAGTTTCATTCATGTATAGTGAAAGTTTAAGGCTTTTTCATTCATGAATATCTTTAAAGAATCTTGCTTAACATTTGAATCTCTTTTAACAAATAATGCTTGAGCATCTTTTTTAAAAAGAAAAAAGATTACATGTATCTCATAATATTCATCTAGTTTAATTAGGCCATGATTTCATGAAATGTTACGGCAAAATCTTCACAATTGTTTTGACACATCGGCATCATGTGTTTAAGAAAATCTAAGCGTTTACAGATAAATAATTCACAGAATGCCAGAATCATTGATATAATTACTTGGTAATGTTACGTAATGGAATGGTTAAAAGTGCAGATGTTAACCATTTTTAAACATCTGTTTACATAACAAAAGTGAGGAATTGTATCAATGATTCTGGCATCCTGTGAATTCTTCATCTGCAAAAGCTTGGATTTGGGCATCCAGCGGTGGATGTCCAGCAATCAGCTTCTGTAACAAATTCTTACAACTTCCAATATTACTTAACAAATTACTGACTTAAATTTTTTTTTTAAATCATCTACAGGTTCTCAGAAGTTCAAATCTGATTTAGGATTTGAGATTTTACCTTCAGTGACTTTCTCAAGGTCTTTTTTAATTTTCTTCAAATCGACCAAATTTATTTTCAACATCATCTACTTTAAAGTTGACCTCCAATAACCTTTTCAAGGTAAAAAGGTCAAAAGGGTATTTTTTTCAACTTGCTTCAAATTGACCAATTTTTAAAATCAACTTTTAAGTTCTCAGAAATTCAATTCTGACTTTAGATATGAGATTTGACCTTCAATGACCTTCTTCGGTCAAAAAAGGTCTTTTTTCAACTTGCTTCATATTGACCATTTTTTCAAAATCATTTACTGATCATTTACAAGAGTTAAAATCTGACTTAGATTTTACATTTGACCTCCAATGACCTTCTCCAGTCAAAAAAGGTCTTTTTTAACTTGCTTCATATTGACCAATTTTTTTTAAAAATTAATTCTTAAGTTCTCAGAAATTCAAATCTGACTTAAGATATGTGATTTAACCTCCAATGACCTTCTCCGGTCAAAAAAGGTATTTTTTCAACTTGCTTCATATTGACCAATTCTTTTCAAAATCATTTACAAGTTCTCAAAAGTTAAAATCTGACTTTTTACATTTGACCTCCAATGACTTTCTCAAGGGTCAATAAAAGGTCTTTTCAACTTGCTTCAATTTTTTTTAAACACATTTGTGTCAAAAAGGTTGTGAATATTCTGCCTATGTCTTGGGAAATTGTGGAAAAAGAGAAATAGTACCTTTTAGGCTGTGACACTTTTGTTACCAAATCAGATCTGTTAAGAGTTCCACCACAGTAAATTTGTAAAATAATGCATTTACAAATATAGTTATTTGTAAATTCTCCATCAGTTCTCTTTAAAATGATTCTATGTTTTAGCAATTGGCTTCAACGTTGAAACAGTCATTTACAAAAACCTAAAATTCCAAGTATGGGACTTGGGTGGACAAACCAGTATTAGGTAACTATGACTGTATATAATGCCTTGAATTTATGTTTCACATAAACCATGAATGATTGAATGTGGACAAGTAGCCTTGTAGGATAAGGCAAATGATTTCAGACTCTACTATCTTAGATGGTCAGTATTTTCTGACCATGAAGACAGGTGTATTATCTCCAAGTACAGGGTGACTGGATAAAAGGAGACCATTGAAGTAGGCAGAACCTCCTAAACTAGACAAGTGACATCAATGAAAACTTGCACCCACCAGAGCAGATTTATGGAAATTTGTTCCTGAAAGTTTCAATATAACCAGTCAACTGGTTCAGGAGCTGTGATCATTTACATTACATGCTCCAAATGGCCGCAATTGAGCAATCGATTCATATCATAGATACTAGTATTCCGTAATTCCGCGGCGTGGACGGAATTTGACAAAACTTCAATTTTTTGCAGAATCCCTGATTTTCATGAAAATCCCGCGGAATTACCAGAAATTACATATTTTACGATCTCCTACCTTTGCGGGGTATTTGAAGAGTGTCTGTTTATGTCCAACAATCAATCATTATTGAGTACAAGTACGATTTCACCGTGAAATTCAACATTCTATCACGTTTAAATTCGCTAAAGCGAGGTCGCTAATGACGCGCAGTTCTTACTTAGAAAGTAGCTGACTTCCGTTTCCGTTGCTACGTCAATATTCATCGTTTTAAAAGATTGCAGAATTTGTACTTTTTTGAAAATTTGTGCAGAATTTCGATTTTCTCCTTGCAGAATTTGCTTTTTTTCTTGCAGAATTTTTTGCAGAATTTTGATTTTTTTTCATGCAGAAAACTAGTATCTGTGTCATATGGCAAAATTGTTAAATACCCTAACCCCATTCAACCCTTATTATGGCATTACATTTAGCAGTGATTGCCTTCTTTAGGTCAGCAATTGCTGCTAAATGTGATGCCATAATAAGGGTTGGATTGGGTAAGAGTAATTATCCCAACGAACGAAGTTTGGTAGGGATATAGTGAAGCCCTCCGTCCGTCAGTCCATCTATCCGTCCGTCTGGAAGATTACTAGAGAATACTAGTGGCCGAATTTTCTTCACATTTGGTGGAAAGATGTATGCAACAACAAAAAAATTCCAAGATGGCCACCGCTTTAAAAATGGCAGGTATTTTTCATGAAAATCTTAGATTTTCGTTTTTTATACCAAAGTAATAAATATTATTGTTTGAAATTTGGGAAGTATATTCACTACATCTATCTATTTCATATATATTCCGAGTTTTTCACCATGACCCCCAGGTATGGGGGGTCAGGAAAATGGGAATTTGCATTAATTTTGAGATCTTTCTAAAGCTTAATTATACTCAAATGAAAGGCAATTTAGAGTAGATCGCAAATATTATATCAGTTTTGTAATTTTGGCCTCATAATGGCTGTCTTATGTGAGATTTCGCAATAATTTCCTGATCCCTTTAAAGTATGGCTATATTATACTCAAATTGAAGGAAGTTTAGGTTAGATCATTACTATGGTATTGTCTTTCTGATCTCTTCAAAGTATGGCTATATTATTCTCAATTTGAAGGAAATTTAGGGCAGAAAATTCAAATTTTCTTTATTATTTGTGCCTTCAAATGGTCACCCAAATGCTTTTAAAATAGGTATAAATTCTGATATATCTCTAATGTTTCCAATGTTTATACTTTTTATGACAAATACAGATTCATATATGCTATAGCGTTTGTTGGGATTTGCTACTCCGTGGAGTTGCAGTTTTCTAGTTGACAATTTTGCCATATGAATCCAGCTCTGCCTTTTGCTCAGATGCGGCCATTTGGAGCATGTTATGTAAATTATCACAGTTCCTGAACCAGTTGACTGGTTATATTGAAACTTTCAGGAACACATTTCCATAGAACTGTTCTGGTGTTCAAGTTTTCATCGATGTCGCTTGTTTAGTTTAGGAGATATTGCCTACTTCAATGGTCTCCATTTATCCAGTCACCCTGTATAATCAATGATTATAAGTTACAGGAAGCAGTGATAATGGAAGGCCAATGAACCAATCATCATTAAGACTATCTTTTCAAATGTTTAATGCACGTTTGTACTTTATTTAAGTAGCAATTAGTTTTTACCATCTGAGATTAGTGATAACTCATGCTATTCATTGGTTACAGCTTATTTTGGTCATCCCTGGATGGATTCACTTTTCCTTTTAAGAAATAAATAGTATCTCCAGGGACCATTTCATTTTGCACTTGAACAATAAAAGGTTGTCTTTTTGTTGCAAATTGGTCAACATATTTGACAAAGTATGTTACTGGGGTGATTGCCCCTCCATAATACATAGCGGTTATTTAATGCGAGGTTTTTGATACAGGGTATATCTGAGGGAAATACAATACATTAACCCGAGGGACCGAGGATTGATATATTGTATTTACCAAGGGATATACCCTGTATCAAAAATTAGCATTTAATAACTGATTTATTCTATACTTTAATAGTAGATTATGAGGATTTAATGCCAAGTCCCCTGGCTCAGTATCTACTCTCTGAATTTGTGATTTTGTAGATCTGATGAGCGGATGATATAAGCGGGTGATAAATATATCACCCGCTCACTTCAGATATCAATTATATTCCTGCATGTTATTATCCAATCGAACGAAGTTCGGAGGGATATAGGGAATGCCTCCATCCGTCCGTCCATCCGTCTGTCCATCCGGGCAATAACTCAAATACCGTTGGCCCGATTTTGTTCATATTTTGTACACATATAGCCAATGGGATGAGGAGTTCTGCTGGAAAATCGATTTTCAAAATGGCCGTTCATTTAAAAATGGCGGCCATTTTAGTGCAGATTTTACAGTAATTTAGGTACTGCATATAAAACTGTAATAGCAATATGTTTTAAATGTAAAAAAGTAATATAGGGCATTGATTAAGCTAGAAATGTAAATACAGAAAAAATACATGACAGCCACCTTGAAAAATGGCTGCCATTTTTACGTGTGTTATTTAACATTTTTTACTGTAAGTCAAAAAGTAGTAGAGCGATTTTGTTCATATTTGGTATGTGAATACTTTAAGCATGGCCAAATGTCTAATGACATTTTGGGTAGTAGGTGGCCATTTTGAAAAATGGCCGCCATTTTTAGGTGTGTTATTTTACATTTTTTACTATAACTCAAAAAGTAGTAGAGCGATATTGTTCATATTTTATATGTGAATACTATAACCATGGCACACTGTCTAATGACACTTTGGGTAGTAGGCGGCCATTTTGAAAAATGGCCACCATTTTTACATTTTTTACTATAACTTTAAAAGTAGTGGAGCTATTTTGTTCATATTTGGTATGTGAATACTTATGAACCTTGCACACTGTCTCATGACACTTCGCATAGTAGGTTGTCATTTTAAAAAATGGCTGTCATTTTTACATTTTTTACTATAACTCGAAAAGTATTGGAGTGATTTTGTTCATATTTGATATGTGAATACTTTAAAGTCCCCGATAAATCGGGCTACGTATACCGCCGTGTTTACATTAGGGGATTAGAAGAGTTTATTTTTTATTTAGGTATGCAAGCTACGTATATCAATATTAGGCCTTCATTCATGTACTCGTGTGCATGTAATCAGCATGCCCTTCAATATTATGTAAACCAGGCTATTCAAGTACTGTATAATGTACACTATTTATGTGTGTACTACATACATACAATACAATTCCCTGGGAAACAAAACACAAATGCTTTTTATATGTTCAAAATGAGCCATTTGATTGATGCAAACACTAAATAGCTTCATAAATAACATCTACAAAGTATATCTACTAGTAATTTTTAATTTCAATGGTGAAACTTCCCTGGTTACGATTATATGGGAAATCATCACGAGACGAAGATCGTTCGCCTTCCTGGCTTACCTCTGAATCGTGTACCCGGTAATCTCTTTATATAGTTTAGCGAGAGCGGTGCGCCTGCGCAGTTTTAAACTTTGGCGAACACTTTAAGCATGGCACATTGTCTAATAAAACTTTGGGGAGTAGTTGGCCATTTTGAAAAATGGCCACCATTTTTATGTGTGTTATTTTACATTTTTATTATACTTCAAAAAGTAATAGAGCGAGCATTTGCATGTATGTGTGTGCAATTTTTTTTAAATTTTATATGTGGTAACTTAAAAGCATATTACTTCTGATGACAATTTGGCTAGTGAGCAACCATTTTGAAAATGGTGGCCTTTCTTATGGATGTTATTTTACGATATTTGCTATATATTTTGTTTGTAAAAATGCCAGCCATTTCTGTTCGATGGGATTCGCTACGCTTTGGCGTTTCCATTTTGTTCTGGTTTACCTATAACACTACTAAGTATGGAATAAAATTTTATATCAAAGGGTCTGATTGACCAAATCACCACTGTATAATCACCACTGGTCATGTAGATGTCAGAAATCATTTGCCTTATCCTATGGGGATCAAAAATAAAGTAATAAAGGTCAAAAATTTAATCAATTCAGGAAGAATAACACTTTTGAACTGAACTCTTTTTGACTAAGATATTTAAGAATTAATTTTGACATCACCTTAATCTTCTGACCTGTAAATCAGCAGAAATTCATGAACTAAGGCATGTAGGGTGACTCATTTTAACATGAGATTGTTTATTGATTGCAGGCCATATTGGCGATGCTACTACTCAAACACAGATGCTATAATATATGTAGTCGACAGTATGGACAGAGACAGAATAGGCATATCAAAACAGGAGTTAGTCTCTATGTTAGAGGTATGTTTTATGATTCTATTTTCTCCAAAATGGAACAACATAATTGTTATAGTCTCCAACCTTTTTATCACACCATCGGTGGGATATAGTCGTCATACTAGTCGTGATCGTGGTCGTGATCGTGGTCGTGATCGTGGTCGTGATCGTGGTCGTGGTCGTGATCGTGATCGTCCCGCTTTTTTTGTCATCGCCGTTTAAGGAAAACGGCTCATCAGATTTTCTCCAAATTCGCACAGATGATACAGCATATGAAGTACTAGAGCTGATTAACTTTTGAGTGGCCATCTTGTTTTCTGGCGGCCATTTTGAAGGTTTTTCGAAAAATCTTGTCATTGCCATTTCAAGAAAACCGCTCATCGGATTTCCTTCAAATTTACACAAATGATAGAGGATATCAAGTACTAGAGCTGATTAACTTTTGGGCGGCCATCTTGTTTTCTGGCAGCCATTTTGAAGATTTTTCGAAAAATCTTGTCATCGCCATTTCAGAAAATCCGCTCATTGGATTTCCTTCAAATTTACACACATGATAGAGGATACCAAGTACTAGAGCTGATTAACTTTTGGGCGGCCATCTTGTTTTCTGGTGGCCATTTTGAAGGTTTTTCGAAAAATCTTGTCATCGCCATTCCAGGAAAACCGCTCATCGGATTTCCTTCAAATTTACACAAATGATAGAGGATATCAAGTACTAGAGCTGATTAACTTTTAGGCGGCCATCTTGTTTTCTGGCAGCCATTTTGAAGATTTTTCGAAAAATCTTGTCATCGCCATTTCAGAAAATCCGCTCATCGGATTTCCTTCAAATTTACACACATGATAGAGGATATCAAGTACTAGAGCTGATTAACTTTTGGGCGGCCATCTTGTTTTCTGATGGCCATTTTGAAGGTTTTTCGAAAAATCTTGTCATCGCCATTTCAGGAAAACCGTTCATCGGATTTCCTTTAAATTTACACAAATGATAGAGGATATCAAGAACTAGAGCTGATTAACTTTTAGACGGCCATCTTGTTTCCTGGCAGCCATTTTGAAGATGTTTCGAAAAATCTTGTCATCGCCATTTCAGAAAATCCCCTCATCGGATTTCCTTCAAATTTACACACATGATAGAGGATATCAAGTACTAGAGCCGATTAACTTTTGGGCGGCCATCTTGTTTTCTGATGGCCATTTTGAGGATTTTTCGAAAAATCTTGTCATCGCCATTTCAGGAAAACCGCTCATCGGATTTCCTTCAAATTTACACAAATGATAGAGGATATCAAGTACTAGAGCTGATTAACGTTAAGGCGGCCATCTTGTTTTCTGGCAGCTATTTTGAAGATTTTTCGAAAAATCTTGTCATCGCCATTTCAGAAAATCCGCTCATCGGATTTCCTTCAAATTTACACACATGATAGAGGATATCAAGTACTAGAGCTGATTAACTTTTGGGCGGCCATCTTGTTTTCTGATGGCCATTTTGAAGGTTTTTCGAAAAATCTTGTCATCGCCATTTCAGGAAAACCGTTCATCGGATTTCCTTCAAATTTACACAAATGATAGAGGATATCAAGTACAAGAGCTGATAAACTTTTGGGCGGCCATCTTGTTTTCTTGTTCTTGAAATTTGTAAACATAATAGGAGAACAGTTTTCCTGGTTCATAGTGTCTGCCTATTTGATGGTGTGATCTCGTTCACGTCCTGTGCCTTGTTTATCGTACCTAATAAAGGTACGATATTGTCGTCAGCTTGACGGGCGGGCGGCAGGCGGCGTCTCACTTTTCAGCTTGTCTACAGGTTTCCAGCCAAACCATTTGACAGATTCATCTGAAATTTTCAGGAATGTTTCTACATATCAAAGTTAAGAACTGATTAGTTTTTGGGCATTCTGGGTAAATTTTAAGGTGGCCATTTTGGATTTTCCGTCCTAAAATCTTCACTTTCAAGACTTGTCTACAGGTTTCCAGCCAAACCATTTGACGGATTCATCTGAAATTTTCAGGAATGTTTCTACGTATCAAAGTTAACAACTGATTAGTTTTTGGGCATTCTGGGTAAATTTGAAGGTGGCCATTTTGGATTTTCCGTCCTAAAATCTTCACTTTCAAGACTTGTCTACAGGTTTCCAGCCAAACCATTTGACGGATTCATCTGAAATTTTCAGGGATGTTTCTACGTATCAAAGTTAAGAACTGATTAGTTTTTTGGCATTCTGGGTAAAATTTAAGGTGGCCATTTTGGATTTTCCGTCCTAAAATCTTCACTTTCAAGACTTGTCTACAGGTTTCCAGCCAAACCATTTGACGGATTCATTTGAAATTTACAGGGATGTTTCTACATATCAAAGTTAACAACTGATTAGTTTTTTGGCATTCTGGGTAAAATTTAAGGTGGCCATTTTGGATTTTCTGTCCTAAAATCTTCACTTTCAAGACTTGTCTACAGGTTTCCAGCCAAACCATTTGATGGATTCATCTGAAATTTTCAGGGATGTTTCTACGTATCAAAGTTAAGAACTGATTAGTTTTTGGGCATTCAGGGTAAATTTTAAGGTGGCCATTTTGGATTTTCCGTCCTAAATAACTGTCACACTGCTGTGTTTTAGGTACGATATTGTTCACGTCTGTGCCTTGTTGTGGATGGTGATCGACAAAATGTAGACACATGAATTTAAAATGATACATGTTTTTAATCAGTAAGACTACGGCCCTAGTATTTATTAGAAGCCTTAATGTAAATGTGGTAATAATAGTACTATAATTAATAATAGAAAAACAATAGATCTTGATATTGACACAACATATGCTCAGTGTCCTGTCATTCCTACTGTATATGAGCCTTATTCTTATTACAAATGAATTTGGAATTTCAGCAAAATTCCTGCAGAAAAATGATAGATTTAGGGGGTTCCTGAATAAATCTAGTTGAAGTCTCATCTTTAATGAGATTTTACTTCTATTTAATACCATATTTGAATTCTGTGTGTAATTTTCTTTTTAAAAGCAGGGCTCCACTTTAAAAGCAGAAAGTCAATTAGAAAATGATGTAATAGCATGTTTGAATTTTAAATGTCCAAGGAATCTGACACCGAAGACATGTTTTTCCATATATCTCTAGTATTTTTGCACAGAATCAGCTAAATTTTGTCACAATTTTGTCATGAATATATTCGGAATCTGATGGTCATTTTATATTTAAATAGTAGTACTTATCTGGGTTGAAAAATGCAATGTAATATATTAAACTGTTACAGCAGTTATGTAATAGGCTGCATCAGAATGGGGTTGTGGTATAATTTACCATACAGTAAGGAATCCCTGCCTTTAAACAACTTTAATTTGCATTATTCATATTGTCACATTATGCACATTCAAGTTGTCTCAACACACATAACATGCCATCTACATTTATCCATCTACATAGCAAATGGAAAGTTTTATTTTGTCTGAGATTAAGCAGCTATTAGTTCAAAAATAAATTGTGCATATTTCCTCAATGCTCCAGGACTTAACCAAACATAAATGTTCTCATCTCAAGGAGTGCAAGGATCATCTAAAATATAAAAGGCCAGTGCCCTGAAATAGGGACCATGCCTTAAAACAGTGCAACTCTATGTAGACTATACTGTATGCATGTGTATGTCTGTTCCAGGAAGACGAATTGAAGAAAGCAATTCTTGTTGTATTTGCCAACAAACAGGACATTGAAGGTGCAATGACAGTTACTGAAGTCGCCAATGCATTGGGGCTTTCATCTTTAAAGAATAGGAAATACCAAATATTTAAAACATCAGCGATCAAAGGGGAAGGTCTAGATGAAGCAATGGACTGGTTCGTATATTTACAGAATAAAGGATGTAATGTAAAAATCAGTATGGTGACAGTATCAGTGTCACAAAAACAATCTATTGTTTTGATATAACTGAACTTTGCTAATAATTATATAAATACCGTATTATCTCTAATAGGCACACATACTCCAGGGGCAATAGAAGGATTTGCCAAGGGAGGGGGTGACTTTTGGGTATGGGCAGGTCATGCTTGAAGCGCGCCGCAGTAACCTTCTAGTGATGAGTTAAAAGCCATAATGAATGCTAAATCTGACCAAATTCATTTGACACTTGCACTTCACCTTTTCCCACACATTAGTAGTATTATAAGAACATGAAACATATTTTCTCTGACAATGAAGGCCAGTCAGTTACAGAAAATCTTTAGATTTTGACTTGGGTATCGCAGTCAGTTTCCTAAATGGCAGCCCGGAAAAATGGGAGAGGGAATGTTTTATCATAGAAATGTGACACATATGTCAATTAACCCACAAAAACACATTCAGTAGATCGATAAATACATGAGAAAAACATTAAGGCCTGATTCTATGTTATCTAAGTCGGTGTTAAGTTCAGTTTTAAAGAGAAAAAACCAGAAGTATGCTATTCGTCCATATATTAATTTTTCAAAAATCCCCGGGGATTTTGTCATTTGAGATAATCTCCTCCAGGAGAATTAGGAAGTCACACTGTGAGTTTATTAGAGAGTATACGGTAGATTCTTTGTATGAAATTGAAATCTGGATCTGATTAGCCCATAGTTTTCTTGAGAAGTAGTGGTCACATTGACGTGAAATTCTTAGTGCAGTCTTAACTTATAATTATGGTAAAAGTTGAAATAGTTGGGCAAAATCTGTCACCATGGCAATAAACTTTTCTAAGAGAAGTTGTTTCTAATTTGCTTGAAACTTATAGTAACCACATGTAGGCTACAATATGTTTTACCACAATGGCTCATGTAACATTTCCAAATGAGTGTAAAGTAGTTTATCAAGGCAATAATTATTGATATAGCTGTGGATTCAGACCTAGTAACGTTTGGTTAACTTAAGATATAACCTTTTTATATTTCAGACTTTAACGATACACTGTGTTCTATGTTTTTCAGGCTATCAAATTCAATTCTTCAGCAGAAGTAGATGAATGAGTGATGCCATTTTAGTTTGTGAGACTGCCTATTTATGAAATGAATGATATCTCAATGAATAGACAAACCGTTGTACACTAATATTGTATATAGGGTAACATAGGTGATGCTCAGAATGGATCTAGGATTAATGTGAACAAAGAAGGGACAGACAGTTTAAACCATGTCTAGGTGTATATGTAAATAGACAGTTTCTACAACATATAAATAAATATATATGTATGGACAATATACCACATTTTAGATACATTGTGGAATGTGGATGGACAGTTTAGACCATAAGTTTTACCATACACATAAATAGATGTATGGTTGTACAGTTTTATAATACTTTGTATGGGAATCTATTGGAAGTCTTTTAATATTTATTACACATTGTATTTCAGAGAATGTATTACACACTTTTTGAGGGGGGCTTTTTACCTAATCTCAAAAAATACATTGACTTCCTGAGTATTTCTTGGTACATAAGAATGAAGTCAAATATATATGAACAATATTAGCAAACATACTATCTTAGGGGAGGCATCAAAAGATCAATGTCTGATAGAAAACTAAATAAATCTAGTTTGGGGGGAGGGGGCCAAAGCTATTTCAGTTTGCTATCCGACAAATTTCAACATTTGAATTTTTGGGAATTTCGACTCGAAATGCCTTGGAATGGTTTAAAAATAAAGACTTTACCAGATGCCTTCTTCACAAATATGCATGCAACATGGAATATTATGTCTATTGTTGTTGGCATATGTTTTAAGAATCATGAATAAGTTCTAGTACTACCCCGCAAAAACATGTGAAAGTCCGCGATCAACTTTCATTGTATTAAGTTTTGAGGGGGAGGGGGGGGGGTCCAACTCAAAACTAGATTTATTTAGTTCCCTATCAGACATTGAACTTTTGATGCCTCCCCTTAATAAGCCAATCAGTTACGAATTATGAAGGCAAGTTCTGCAAAGGTCCATTTGAGTTATGGCAAGTGATTTTAGAAGGTCATATCTTTCACCATGAGTACCTTCTAGCCATAAATACAGTTTTTTTGTAAAACAATCAAAAATATCAATAAAACAATTCGAAAAATTATGAATAGGGACCCCATGTCAACAATTTTTTCAAAATATTGAACCTATTTACTTAAAAGAGGATCTTCTTTTTCTGATTTTTATTGCATGAAAAGATTATTCAATGAGGGGTCTAAAACTAGAATGGTATTGAAAATCTAGTTTTGAAGATATCAATTTTCTGAAAACAATGAATATCATGAGTTATCATGTTAGCATGAGTAGAAGACACTTTCGACATGTTTAAAACCAAGATTATCCAGTGAATTTCACTAGAAAAATACGAAGACCATATGCGGGTCATATGCTAATTGGAGTAAACTGATCCACTTCTTATAAAAAGGGAGAACAGCAATGATCAAAGTAAATGCTTGTTTCGATGTTGGTTAGATAACATGTTAATGAATCACATGGAGTAAATATGTGGCTGATGTCATAGTTTATGTGATATGTCATATCTCGAATCACAATCACATCATTTGATGACTTGGCAGTTGTCTTGATTGATTTGCCATATAAGCTAATAAAGGCGGGACTTAGGTCACGTGAATGATCCGAGCCAAGTCCATAGAACAAAGGGTACCACCCACTTCGTACATAACTTTTCAGAGAGTTGGATTGATATTTTACTATCATGGGGACTTAATATTTTGTTATAATTTTAATAAAAATCACTGTATTTATGGACAGAAAGTACTCATGGTGAAAGATATGACCATCTAAAATCACTTGCCAATACCTCCCATACCCCCATTAATGTGCGGTTGATTTTTCAAATCACCCCCACAACTACTTGTGTATTGAAATCTTGTAACTGAAAATAAGCTGGATTGGATGTTAACTTTGTGTAAATACTGACAACATTTTTCAACTACAAAATTTCATTACACAAGTAGTTGTGGGAGTGATTTGAAAAATCAACCACACATTTATGGGGGTATACCTCACATGGACATTTCCATTCTGTTCCATGCAAGCCCTTACTTGAGCTAGTAACTAAAAGAGTACAACTGAGCAATATCCTTACTTTTGAGACCATTTTTGTCTGCATTTTATAAGAAATCATTGACATATTGTTTCCAGTTTCAGCCTGAGATGAAATGTTCGAACTATATTCTCCATGTGTTAAAGTTCAGCCTATGTATAAGAGCTAACTAAAATAGACATAGAAGGATACACCTATTTATTATGAAAAATACATTAGACTGTTTGAGAAAGGTTCTATATTTAAGTCTTCCATTCCACACGAAAAATTGAAAATTGATGTCCAATCAAATTTAAACTAATAATTATTGCCTGGTGTTTTGGAAATTATACATGCCACTTTAGAAATATTCTTATCTTATTAATATCATTTGTTTGGCAATTTATATTAAGTTGTGATATGAGTTGTTAGAAGATGGAGGCAAATGGGAAGATTTGATGTTGATGTTTTTATTATCACACCATCGGATTTTCTCCAAATTCGCACCCATGTAGATGCAGGTTACTTACACAGAACACACATAACAGGAACTGAAAATGGTGTGTTAAGGTTATCATACATGTATAGTATCTTTACTCAACAATATTGATGTACATTTTCTTTTCTTATAAATAAATGTAGTTTAATTCATGTATGTTATAAATGGCTTTGTTGAATAGAATGTCCAAACTGACCACCTTACTAAAACTTTACACAACACAGTAAACCTCGTGGAAAGAGAAAACCTAGAAGTTCATTTTACATTTTGTTATTGGGTAAGGCCATCAAATCAAAATTGCATCAAAACTTATTTCATTTCAATTGGACAGTGTCAGTATAGGAAATTCAAAATGATGAATAAAAGAATGAATGGTGGGAAGATTTTCTTGAATTCTTGAAATCCATCCATCAAATTGATTTGGCCAGAACAGACACAACTTGGTCAAAATGGTCACCTCAAAAAGGCAGGATGTTAATGTGGGTTTCGTTTGTATTGCGATTCCTCAATGGTTGGGGAAGGTGTGCTGAACACGGTTTCTTTGTGTGTTAATTGCCATTTTGATATTTATTTTCCTCATTAATTGTCTTTGCAATAAAAGTCTGGTCTTTTCCTTTTATTTATGGTACTTGTGCACCTTACATATCTTTTCATTTAAATTAAGTTGTCCATTAATTTAGTGTACAGACTGCAACATAGTAATGAATGGCTGGCTTTTAAGGTAAACATGCTTTATTAAGTATGAGGAACAATAGAAACTCAAAAACAGCAACTCCCCGAGTAGTAAATCCCATCAAATAAATGTTTTATTTCACCAAATCATAATTATTTTGAACATAGCATGACTGAAATAAGCAGTGTTGTATTGTATCCTTTTCACAATGTATACCCATGACATGACGCCATACCAGGAACTCGAAGTACTCTAGGCATTACCTGTTAAGATTTGCATCAAAGATTGTACTTGTTTCTTTCTACAAAACTAGAGAGTGCCTGTCTTGAATATAGCAGCCATCTTAAATATTCCTTCTGGAGCAGAATTCTATGGCCATGGCCATTAATATAAAGCACAAAAATGTTAATCAAATCTGAAGATTGCACTGGTATTGATAGGCTAAAAGGTTTTCATCTCGATATTCTGCCATTTATGGAGTCATGTCATGATTACAAAATTCGAAATCAAACAGCTGCATTTTTTCACTTCAGAATTTGAATCTTGAGTTTTGACAAGAAGGATTGGCTCGCAGGATCCTGACTCGACTATAAATTCAAAATAATATATTGGCCACTCTCTTTGCAGTTCAGTAATCAGTTTTCACAAAAATGGTGGCCAGTTTTGAGTTGGAACAGATTGATATGTGGGATAGTGAAAAGTTTTGTCTTTCAAAATTCCACTCAAATCCTGTCAAAACAAAACAAACAGCATATTTTGTACAAATACATATCTTTTTTATTTCACTGTATTCATAAGTGTAGAAATGAGATACAAAGAGCAAGTACTGCTAGCAATATATAAAAGGTAAGATAAATGTCAAGGTCATTCTGCTGAGAATAAAAAATGAATATTTCTAATAGGCATGCAACAGTGGAGACGATAACCCCATTTAACGTGAAGTACGGCAATCGCCATGTTGCACGACAATTGACGTGAAATTATGAAGCATAAGTGCGCATGTCAATAGATAATAACGGCAATTGCCGTCATGTCCGTCAAGTGACGTGCAATATTTTGCACGACAATTGACGTGCAAACTATTATCTTGTAAAAGTTTCACATATTATCGGCAGGACAACAGCAGGCCTGTCAACTGTCCCGCAATTTGCGTATTTGTCACGCATTTGCTGAAGAATTTGAAGTCACGCCAGTTTTTTTTGCGTGACAGAAAATGTCACGCAAAATACGCATTTTACCTGGTAATTGTCAAGCAAAAATATTTCTGTAGAAATTTGTTCGAAATATGTTGACGATACGGTAAAAATACGAACGCCGGGAAAAACCGAACGCAATTTGTTCGGATTTTTCACGCGAATCCCGTATGTGTCACGCATGTTCATTGGAAATTTTTGGTACCTACCCCCCCCCCCCCCCCGTTGACGACATCGCGAGCGTAGCGAGCGCGAAAAATTTGAGGTGTTCAAAGTTTGGCAAAGGTGCTCAAACTTTGGCCAAAGGTGTTTAAAAGTTGGCCAAAGGTGTTCAAAATTTGGACAAAAGTGTTCAGATTTGGACTTAGGTGTCCAACATTTTGAAGTCACTCATATTAGGTGGTCCCAAGTTGACAGCCCTGCAACAGGGAGTAATAAACTGGGAAACTAGTGGGAAAATCATGATCTGCATCGTATGTAATAGTTAAAATTATAAACATTTGCTATTTTCCGGGTTGCGTTTTGAACTAACAACTATTATGATGTGCTTACGTCAATGTTTACAAGAAATATTTATTCAACAGCAAACCGGAAGTAAACAAATGACGTGAAGAAAACGAATAAATTCTGATTTAATGAGGATATGAATTTAAATTGTTTATAATTCATTTAAGGTAATCATTAGATCATTGTAAAGAAGGTTTAAAAACTAAATCAAGTCAGGAAAAAACGAAAAAATCAACAACACGCTGCGGTCAGGAAAACACTTCCGGTCAAAACGAAGAGGGAAAGTAGACCCCATTTTAGTGATTTCCAGCGGTCTTTTCTCGGAATTGGGGCTCACGTTGTGTTCAGAGATTAAAAAACTATTGGGTCAGTACCAATTTCGTCGTATAACCTGTCGAAAAGACGATATCTAGACAATTGAATGAGTGTTAGTAATTCCAATATGGCGTTTTTCTGGGATTCGTGAGAGGTAACTTTGATTAGTTCTAGCGCAAAATTCCCACATAGGATCGCAAATTCCTACATACAAGTGCTAGATTAGATAAAATACTTGAAGAAAATGCAATAAAAAGCGTTCCATCGATCGATTTAGACTTTCCAAGAATGCAAGTTCGGTGGTGACTTCATTGGTTCGTAACATTTACAGAAAATTCACAAGATTGAACGGCATTTTCTCCACAATTTTGGAATGAAATTCTTCCCTGGGATTTAATATATCATTAATGTTTACCAAAGTATACGTACTATAAAATAAATATTACTTAGATTGTATATATATTAAACACTGGGTCTTCTAATCAACCTGGTGTTTCAAATTATGAATTACAATGGACATTATGCTTATTGGCGTGATTTACGTCAATTGACGTGAAAAATGGCAATCTCCGTGTTACACGTTAAATGGGGTTATCGTCTCCACTGTGCAAGTACCATATCTCTGACAATGTCAGTTTGACCAAATCTGTTATCCATTGAGAAGAGATGATTCAGTTTATTTCTGCTCTGCAGTTCTACATAGTGACGATAACATCAGCACAAGGTCTATTGTTCTGTGGCATTCACTTTGCTCTAACGCATTTTAAATGTCATGTTTGATGTTGTGTTGGATAGTTCACCTTTGAAATCAACAGAGATGTCAAAGTCCAGATCTCTCTGAAATTATGAAAATAAATTATATATAAATGATTTAATATTAGAGAGATTTCGCAACTCACCTATAGCATTTATAATTCCCATATAACTTATGAAGAGTTTAATAACATCATCATCTATTGCGAAGCTCTTTACAATAAGTGTCCATCAGTGTGATAGTCTAACATATAGATGAAGATTTATAAGAATATCACACTTACATGACTTATGGACGTATAGAGCTACGCAATCTTTCTATTGCTCTTGAATGTATTAATCAGACAAGACTTAAAATGAATAGATATATTATAAGTCATTTTGGCATGTGTTTGGTGCTGTTCTAATCACCAAACATTGGACAACATGTCTTCGTTATTCTCTCATAGATATGTGAGAATATTTCATGACATAAAGTGAACATTGGGGCAAGGATGTATGCAAATTCCTGACTTTAAACAGGCACTATTTTCTCTAATATACCTTTGATGTAAATATAACAAGGCCATATTTTGAAAAAATTAACATGAATTCTCACCTTCAAGTGCCATGTTGAAGTTTTCATTCTTTTTGGCCCAAAACAATTCTTGACACAAAAGAGACCAAAATTTAGGAATAACAGGCAAAAGTGAATAGTATAAGAAACTTACATTATTCTTACTGTTTGGTGTCATCTTGAATGTGCCAAACATTTCTTCTCCTTTCTTTATAGTGATATAGTCATCAAGGTAGAAGACTGTTTGTTTCCAATGAGTATATCTGGCTTCAGGGGCTAAAATTAACATAAAATACATTATGGTGCAGCATGAATAAACCCTGGCAGAGATAACAGCAACCAGAAGTATTGGACAAGTGATTTAACAAAGTAACACAGTGATCATATTTCACATTGTTGAATCATGTTACCTAAGAGATGTTTGAAGGAGGTGTTTTCCATCTATAGAAGGTTACATGATAAATCCATTGCATGAAGTGGGTTATTTTCTATAAAAATTGCCTTCAAAAGATTGGTTGTATATTTCACACCAGAAAACATCAATAAAATCAATCTATCAAGCAATATACCTAGGAAGGAGCATTCAAGAGAACATATGTCACTCACCAAAATGACAACAAAATCACATCTTTTTAGCATAACTCATTGCACAATAATTTAAATAGGATCAGAGAAAACAGTACTTTCGAATATCTCACAAAAACATTTATTATATACCCAATATGTAACACTAATCCTGATTGGTCAATACCTTAAGTCACGTGTTCCGAAATAGATTTACTATTTCCCTCGGAAAGTTATATTCCCTCAAATGTGACGTCAGCGGGAATATACATTTGAACTATTGCCCGCTGACGTCACAATTGCAAGCTCTATTACCCTTGGAAACGTCTGCTCATCATCACTGCGCAGACGAAAAACAGAAAAATGGAGGATGAGCACAAACACAAATCAACTCCGTTCACCATGACAGACGTGCGTGAACGATACAATATAAGCAACGTGTATAAAGTTCCCTAAGCTCAATACGTCTGTGTAATTTCAAGTGTTATGATAATCTATTCCGCGTGTTAAACGCGATTGAATTTGTCAAGTGAGAGTCTCAGAGGCAAAAATTTCTGTTGAGCATCTGATGACGTCACAGCTTATAGTGCTAACAATGGACCTGGGGAGGGGGCTTTCTAAGCCTTTTTGGCCTTCGCAGAGGAAACGGGACAAGAGTCCGTATAGGGTATATAATAAAACAAATAGTGACTGCCTAATTTCGAGCAATAGTGTAAATGATTTCCCCTTGGGAATATCCTCTACAATATACTATTCCCTCAGCCTGCGGCTTCGGGAATAGTACATTGTAGAGGATATTCCCTCGGGGAAATAATTTACACTATTGCCCTCAATGGCAGTCACTATTTGTATAATATTGGGATCTCCCCAGCATCATCTTTTCTGGCGCAGCACCCACTTCAAATGAAAACTGCACCCACCTCAAAGTTTTCACCACTCTCTACTGTCTATATATACCCACTTTACTCAATACTGACCAAAAAGTGAAGTAAAAAAATGTTGGAAAAATAATAAAATTTAGTAACAAAATTTTCAGCTCTCTTGCCTTGAGTAAACACACAAAACTAGCTCAGAAAATCAGTTGCGCATATCCCCAGTCAAAATTTTGCTACAATTCATTCATAACTTATGTCATCACATGACTTCAACAAGTTAAACCCAAACTTAAAGAGAGCGGCAAATATCTGCACCCGCATGAGAAAATCCTGGGGAGATCATTGATATACATGTATATCAATTTCAAATTTCTTTTGGCAATACTTACCTGTAGAAAATCCTACACGTTTATGACACTTAGTGAATTCTATATTAAAGAAAGTAACCAGTGCCTGCACATAGTCATTCCGCCTGCATTGTAAATGGAAAGGGGCCTCAAAACTGAGATCTCCCTCCTTCACTGTGTAGATGTCCACCTCCTACAACACAGATGAAAGTGTCTTAAACTAGAAAAAAACAGCAACTCCACGGAGTTGCAAATGCCACCGAACAAAACATATTTTGATTATAAGTGACCATCTTGAAAATTCCTTCTTGAGCAGAGCTTGTTTGTCTCTAGGCATCAACATATAAAATGTAAACCATATCTGTCAATTAGCATTTGAGTTATCCACCCTTGGTATACGCAGCTAAAGAAAATTGATCCCGTACGGGTCAAAAGCTGGACCGGTACGGGTTAACGGTTTTATTTGAATTTAAAACAGCCATAACTTGCTCAATATTGACTTCCTCGTGTCTAATTTGAAATATATGATGCCTCCCGATGCTACTAAGTACCCCAATTTTTTACAGATTTTTAAACGGACCAAAATTCTCTAAATGCGCATTTATGCTCTTTTCTCTCGAGAATGACCGTCTCATTTTCACGATAACTTTTATTTAGTACTTCTAACATGTAAGATCTATTTTTCCCCATCAAGGTATGATGTAAATGACATGCTATTTACATATTATGAGTTTCAATGACGCGCGTTTGATTTTATAAAAAATGCCAAACTTTGTGACAAAGAATTTCATCCTGCTTGCAGCGAGAAGACGGACTGGTTCAGGGCAATAGTTATCAGTTATTACGTTTTTTTTTTATCAAAAATGGCCGCCATTCACTGTACTGTAGCAACTACTTAGTGATTGTTCTATCATAGACCTCATTCTATTTCGATTGGCAATCAACTTCCGGAAAAGAAACTTTGAAAGAAAACATTGTATTTCTTTTAGAAATAGAATATCCTTAAGGATTTTGACCAAATAAAAGACTGAAGGTAAGATTGTTTTCCGAGCCTATCAATTTTCTTAATGAAAACACAGGACTTTATGCCTAAGGGACAGATCATAATTAAAGTTTTTTGAGTCCCTTCATCAAAATCCAGGTCCGGACACACAAACGGACAGCTTTCCTATATCTCCCTCGAACTTCGTTCGGTGGGATAATTGAGGTTAACGTTCAGTATTGAATCGTTTGCCTGCGATTCATATTACTAACATGCACAAAGCATTCAGTAGTGTTTATACACACAACTGAATAGTTGAATACAAGACATTAACATGCAAATGCCACCACCTGCCATTTGTTAAAGATGGATCGCCGAACACCAACCACCTTCCACAAAAAGTTGGGAGACCATAACAATATGTCAACACATTCTAACATTCATTTTGACATCTAGCTGGCCTCAACTAAAGTTCCATTATTTAGTTGGCTGTTCAAAATGTGTTCATTCACGGAATTCTAGTTAAGAAGGACATCATAGTGGTCAACAAATAATATTTAGAAATAACAAATAATTTTGTATGCAGATATGTCATTTTTTCTAGCATTCTGCTTATTGGATAAGGAGTGCAAAATTGTGGTAATCGATTTCGCTGAATGTAGGTCAAGGTCAAGCTGATATAAATGAGCCAACAAGTTAAGTACAGGTAATTCACACATAGGTAGGGATTCTATATCACATTTTGGCGAGAGCACAGTTTAGCCATTTTATATTTCTTAACAGACAGCTATTTCAGCTTATACGTTTATTCAGCAAATATTTTTGAATATTTTTGGATCTCCACTGAATGTTAAATACAATACTTCAGATCACACAACTTGTATGAGGGTAATATAGTCTGCATACAAACCTTGAGAAGGCACGAGTTAGTGACCACCTGTTTGTGATCTACAACATCTACAAGTGGCTCACTGATTGCAACTGAACGGATACAGCTCATGTCAAACCCATACACATTGTCCCACCCTAAAAAGTAATATTTACCATACATTCCTTATTCTTGATAATGGTGAATACACAAATTAATATCATATTACCCATCATATCAAAAAAAAGCTTTGCTTAAGATTGATTTTTTACACAAAACTTCCTCATAAGGAGCATATTTCTTTAAAATTTGTATCAACAAGCAATGCAATCATTTAAAGATTATCCTGCCACTGAAATGTTGAGATCGATGTGATGTAATATTACATTAAGAGTGATTTTTTAAAAATCGTGACATAGATAATAAATCTGCAACTCATAATGTGAAGATGAAATAGAACAGTACTGTGTATTACTTACAGTTAATTTTGTCTTCTTTGTATTCCCGGTCTTCTATTCCACACACATACAGAGTAGCTCTGTCAGGGAAGATCATACCATCAGGTTTCTACAATATATAATAGTTCATAGAACAGAATTATAGTGCTCTGGAACACATCTACAATAGAATCGATCAGGGCAACAAGATCTTAATAATAGTGATTTATTGCAAGTCACATATATTCTATATGATGAATGCTACCAAAATATCATTAGACAGTGTGCCATGCTTAAAGTATTCACATACCAAATTTGAACAAAATCGCTCCACTACTTTATGAGTTACAATAAATGACGTGCAAAGGCAGCCATTTTTCAAGATGGCTGCCATGTATTTCTTCTATATTTACATTTCTAGCTTAATCAATGTCCTATATAACTTTTTTACATTTAAAACATATCACTGTTACAGTTTTATATGCAGTACCTAAATAACTGTAAAATCGGCACTAAAATGGCCGCCATTTTTAAAATTGGTTTTCGAGCAGAACTTCTACCCCCATGTGTACAAAATATGAACAAAATCGGGCCAACGGTATTTGAGTTATTGCCTGGAGGGACGGACGGACGGAGGCGTTCCCTATATCCCTCCGAACTTCGTTCGATGGGATAATTATTAACTTACCAGCCACTTGTCTCTGGCGAATATAACTGTGTTTAACATAGATTCATAGAACAAACAATAGCCCATCCACTCGCTGATGATAATGTCAACCTTATCAATACCATCTGGCAGAACAACCTCTTCAACCTTGCCTTTGATTATTGTGATCACTGCAATAAATTATGAAAAAATCATATATTATATATTGTTCAACTTTTGATGACAATATGTATTGAAAAATAACTAAGGATTCTTAATGGCCAACATTTAAATAAATTACCACGCATGCCCAAACCTAATCAGGTCTCGACACTTCTCTGCTTTTGCAAAATGTAAAAATTTTGGTTGTTAGATGAGCAGTGTGTGTGATGATTGAACTATAAATATTCAGATTATTTGTAGAACATACAAGTTGGAATTCTGTTGGTTCTTAAAATAAGGCATGTTATGACTTACCATCACTAAGTTTGTTCAGTTCTATAATCTTTTTGGAATGTTCCACAATACTAGACATTTCAATCTGAAAACAAAATGAAAAAATAATAGATATCACATGACATTATGTTACTTAATGTATGAATATAGTAACACATCAGTGAGTTTTCAAGTGTTTGACTGAGAAAGGTTACCAGGCAACTAGGGTGTAGATGTAATTACATCCATGTGAGAAACTAATGATATCTTATGTTACCATCGCAACAATAGAGTTTAAGCTTGCATAAAAAATCAAAACCTATACATATGACCAATCGCCCATACAAATACATCGATTAAATATTTTCCGTTTGCATTTAGATTGTGAAAAACATTACAAGCTTAAACTCCCTTCTGTTTTTTCTTAACTCCTCACTTAGCCTAACTTAAACAGAAATATGTAAAGCCAAATTATATATACATTAATAGTTTATTATTGACAGTATGTGTAGATGCGGACTTACCCCAATGACTTTCTTAGCTCCAGCTTTAGCAGCAAACATACATAAGATGCCAGTCCCTGAACCAACATCTAGGACTACTTTGTCCTTAAACAGATGTCTGTTATGGTACATAGAGTTTCTATATGTCAAAGTACGGACCTCATCTTTTAACATCTCCTACAATATTGAGACACTCTTTTTTATATTCTATAATAAATTTAAGTTCTAAGAATGTACCTTTGATGAATCCAAACAATAATAACTGATACTTAAAAATAGAGGTGTCACGGTTTCCCGATATTGGACCGAATTTCGGTCCAGATGCTTCGGTTCGGGACACGGGACAGAAAGGGTTAATATCGGTTCGGTATCGGAACATAAATTCCTTCCCTAAAATGCATAAAAACGTGTATAAACAGCGAGGAACACCTCCGATTTCGTTCTGAAAAATTAAATATTTTCACTTACCTCGTACCTAGATTACACTTCTTTGCATAGAAAAGTGTAATTAACGGACCCGCGATTTCAGGTAGATGGTAATGCTTGTTCGTAAATTCCTTCACCGTCGTTCGCAAATCGAGTGCATTATCAGTATGCCGGATGAAGGAAAGAAATTGATAAATCGAGCCTGCATCTACTAAGTCGAAAAAGTCGGCAGTTTGGAAGTATTTTGGGACTCCGATATCACAAGGTATACCAATTGGTCATAGTTCACCGTGCAGACTGTGTGAAATGCCGATCACATTCGCGGCAGATGCTTTATATTCGATTTTAATTGACGTTTTTTATTTCTGAATGTGATTTTGAAAAGTGAAACTCATCATCAGACATTGCATCATTTTTAATGTTCTGTCCCGTCCCGTCCCGAAAGTACCGTGTCCCGAGACCATTTGTACCGTTCCGTACCGTACCGAAATTATTTTGGACCGTGACACCTCTACTTAAAAATCACAATCTTCATAATCTTGTAAGTCTTCAAATTTTCTTTGTAAACTTCATAATTATTTTTTTTATTTTTTTTATTTTTTATTAATTTATTGCAATCACTTTTAGATCAGTGGCACATAGTTAAACTAGTGCAGCAGTTAAAACATACTATACATGTGAACAAGTACAATTCTAAAGCAGAGCTAAAAACATTTGCGCAATAAGACATAAAAACAAAACTAAAACATTTGCAATACATTAACTTGTTGGTGCTACATATATATTTTTGATAAAATACTTTGAGCATGCATCAAAAATATAACCTTGTTTTTGACCCAAGATAGCAGAGGCCGCATTCCCAAGCACCCATTCTAAACCATTATTGGGAATACATGTCTTAAAATAATTATAAATGTGTGGAAGTCTATTCTCAATGCTATTATAAAATATAAACCTTTCCTCTTTAAACTTTGGGCAGGTAAAAAATCGATGTTCAGGAGTTTCTTTACAGCTCATATTACAAAAAGAACACATTCCATCACTTATACCCCATCTCTCAAGATCAATGGCGAGACCAAAGCATCCTGATCTGGCCTTGAATTTAAGTTTTTGAGCATAGAAGTCAAAATCAGTTTTAAGGTATTTTTCCATAAGTGTGTTTATTTTAATATTACTATATACTGTAAGTGACTTTTTCTGGTTTATCGAGTCAAAAAATGTATTGCGTAACAAATCATTAGATATTTTCAAATATGGCGAGTACCAATCCGTGTCCTCTCTGTATATTACATCGTCTAAACCATGGTTGGTCAAAATATCTTTAATGCTAGAAAAATAAGACCAGGTGGCTGTATTTCCCTTTTTAAAGTCCTCAAACATATAATTGAAAATATTCTTGTGGAGCCCTGCTTTAAGAGAGCTCTTTAAGTAGATAAAATAGTCAATTTTTCTTTTTTCTATGACATTACATATAGGCCTCCATCCCAAGTCACCGAACAGGGCCTCCTTAGCAGGATTACACTTGAGTTGTAATAGCGATTTTCCTATCTTATATTGAAAGGTAGCTAGTGTTTTGCAATTTGATTTGTTCAATACGAAGGTACTACAACCATGCAAAATTGCAGGTACAAACATTGAATTATATATAGTATCACCAAAGCTTGTGCGCTTTGCATTACAGTGTTTACTCAGAGTTGAACACAACATGCCTTGCATGCGTTTAGCTTTTGGCTTAAGGAAGGCATCTATGTGATAGGTGTCCTTTAATGTCCTATCAAAGTAGACCCCCAGATATTTATAGTTTTGAACTTCAGTTAGTTGAAGATCACCAAGATGCCAAATTTTTTCTTTATTGATGCGCTTACCTATCACCATTACTTTTGACTTTTTTGGGCTATATTTAACGCCCCATTTTAGTGAAAATGTATTTGCAATTTGCAACATTTTGTTCAATTCCCCTTCAGATTCTGCCAAAAGGACAATATCATCTGCAAAAAGCAGAGCAGGGATATTTCCATTATTAAAAGGTATTCCTGTGTTTTCTGAATGTAGCATCTCAATTAATTCTGTCATTATGAAGGAAAAAAGCATAGGGGATAAACAGCAGCCCTGTTTCAGGCCTGTGGGAGTACTATACCAGTCACTCTCAGGGTTGTTACCTGTGATTGGAGTGTCATTTTCAAAATTCAGATTTTTCATAAGTTCATTATCAAAATTATCACCATTTGACTTACCAAATAAGACCTTATTTTTGACATCTTTTTAATATTGTACTTGTGCTTAAACATTGCCTTCATTTAAGTTTCTGTTCAGGCCCGTAAGACACTTTTCTCCAAGGGGGGTGCGGTTTTTAGCTTACTAAAGAGAATATAAGACTGTCAATTTTTTTGCCGCGTAAATCAAATCGCGTAAGACAGAGGGGGGGGGGGGGGGGGTCAGTTACTCCCTATATTGGTTTGGAATTAACAAATGCAACTTCCAAACGTTCCAATTGTTTTGTGGGGGGTGTGAGGAGTAGTCCACTCCCCCAGTTTTGAGATGCTATTTGGTGCTTTCTGGGCACTTTCAAAGTGTAAGTTTGTAAGTAGTACGCCACCACCACAAGAACAAGAGTTGAGTGAATAAAAACCGAGCATTCAGGGGGTTTGAAATTTGGTTGTATTTGGAGCGAATTTGCAACCATCTGGTATGCCTGTGCGTTATGAGTCAATAAGAAAATTTTGAATTTTTTTTCAAATTCTTTTGGGGGTGTCAACGAGGATGAGAGAGTGAAGTGGGGTGGGGTGCCAGTAGGGGAGCAAGGGGTTGTCCCCCAGAAACATTGACCATATCAAGGTGCTATTTGATGATGTCTGGGCACTTAAAAAATGTCTGAGACAATACATGAAATTCAGAATATTTTATTTTGTTTTGTGGGGGATGTGAGGGGTGGCTAACTCTCCTAGAAAATTTTACAATTATAAAGATGATATTTGTGCTTCTGGGCACTTTTAAAGGTATTAGTCAATAAAAACATTGAAAAACAATCACATATTTTTCAAATTTTGGGGGTTTCAAAGGGGGGGGGGGGGGTGCCAGAGGGGGAGGTGGGGCTGGGGTGCCAGAGGGGGAGCAAGTGTTTGTCCCCCATATCAAAATTTACAACATCAAGGTGCTATTCGATGAAGTTTGGGCACTTTATTTGTGTCTGTGCCTAAAAGCGCATATTTCCCAAGAAAATTTTACAATTTTAAGATGCTATTTGGTGCTTTCTGGGCACTTTCAAAATGTATGAGTCAATAAAAAAATCTGAAAAATCTCAATTTTTTTTTGGGGGGGGGTGTTAAGGGGGGGGGGCTGCCAGAGGGGGAGGTGGAGTGTGGATGCCAGGGGGCGAGTAAGTGTTAGTCTTCCAGAATCATTAACTTTATCAAGGAGCTATTTGATGGTGTCTGGGCAATTTAAAAGTGTCTGAGACAATACATAAAACAAATTCAGAACTTTTTCATTGTTTTGTTTGGGGCGTGAGGGATGGCCCACTCCCCCTAGAAAATTTTACAATTTTACGACGCTATTTGGTGCTTTCTGGGCATTTTCAAATTGTATGAGTCAATTAAAGAATTTTAGAAAATCACAATTTTTTGGGGGGGCGGGGTCAACGGGGGGGGGGGGGCGCCAGAGGGGGGGGGGGTTTATGGAAGTGCAAGATACAAGAGGGGGAGCAAGTCCCCCAGAAACACTAACTATATCAAGGAGCTATTTGATGATGTCTGAGACAAAACCCTTATATAAATTTAGAACTTTTCCATTGTTTTGTGGGGGGTGTGAGGGGTGGCCAATACCCCTAAAAACTAAAAAAATTTACACTTTTAAGATGCTATTAGGTGCTTTCTGGGTACTTTCAAAGTGTATGAGTCAATGAAAAAAAAATTACAAAAAAAAAATTTTTCAAAAAAAAAATTTTTTGAATTTTTTTTTTTCAAATTTATTTTGGGGGGTAACAAAGGTAACCGGACAACTCATCCCCTAGACAACTCATCCCTGGACAACTCATCCCCTAGACAACTCATCCCCTGGACAAGTCATCCCCTAGACAAGTCATCCCCTGGACAAGTCATCCCCTGGACAAGTCATCCCCTAGACAACTCATCCCCTGGACAACTCATCCCCTGGACAACTCATCCCCTGGACGACTAATCTTTTGGCATGTTTGAGTATAGTAATTTAATATTATATTACCAATTCAAAGGTTTAAATGTATTGGTTGTGGATATGGTCAGCTTTAAGTTTCAAAAAACATATATTACATGAACACTGTTACTCCACTCAATTACGCTGTTGATTCGTTTGGGTAACAAAATGCTGGAGCCTCGAAGGTTTCTACGATTTTTCTTTTTTCCTTATTTCACGAGTTGTAGGCTGAATTCCCAGGACATTCTATGTCTCGCTTTTGAAACTTTATGTAAACAGAACTTCTAAAACGGTTAAGATCTGCACTTCTAACCCGTTCCGTTTATGCATGGGCTTTCAATTAGATATGGTTTATGTAACAATAGTGAGGTATTAAATCAACGATTCTGTTGTCTTCTGTACTATTTGTTTGCAAACATGCACATTTTCTTAAACATATGATACCAACAAACGTTTGTGATAAAAATGTCGTGGGAATTCTGCCTGCAACACCGGAATTAGGTAAAAATCAAAATCGATCGTTTCTTTGAGGTTCCGACATTTTGTTACGATCCGTTTCAGTAACCAGCATAATCTATTGGAGTACCAGTGATTAACAAAAACTTTCTGGAGGAGAAAATTGCTAAAAAACAAAGACATAATCAACCAATTAATCTGGGATTTGTTTTGTAAATATTTACTTTTCGTTTTGATATGATATTAATTAACCAGAGACATATAAAACATTATATGTCTCTGTATTAACATTGATTGAACAAGTTCATTTGATGTTATAATATGTTTGTTGTTCATAGCTCAAATATTCTTTAATCCAAAGATTATTTTTTCACAGCATTCACAGATGAAGTTAATGAAGTTCATGTTTAAGTTATACACAAAGAGAACTTTATTTGTTTGGTCAGGAAATATTGAGTCATGTAATTTAAGAAGAAGAGATGAGAGTTTTAATGACATCGTTTGACTGTTTATTTGTGTCAGTAAAGTGAAAAATAATATTTAAATGATCTAAGATGTATTTACTAAGCATTTCTTTTCAAGACACACTTTACAATTTTGCTTCATGTGATGAAGGATGAGTTGTCCAGGGGATGAGTTGTCTAGGGGATGAGTTGTCCAGGGGATGAGTTGTCTAGGGGATGAGTTGTCCAGGGGATGAGTTGTCTAGGGGATGAGATGTCTAGGGGATGAGTTGTCTAGAGGATGCGATGTCCAGGGATGAGTTGTCTAGGGGATGAGTTGTCCGTAAGCCGTAACAAAGGGGGGTGCGGTCGCACCCATCGCACCCCCCATCTGACGGCCCTGCTGTTGCTTATAAATACACTGTTTTCTGGCTTGTGAATGGTATATTTACGTTACTGGATATCTATTCATTTCGAAATCCTATTTTAGTTACTCTCATCTAGTTAACTTAGAAATAAAATTTATGAATAAGCCACACGGTGAACAGAATCGCACCCTTGAACAGAATACACTTTTCGGGATGGAAAATCCAAAATGGCCACCTTAACATTTACCCAGAATGCCAAAAAACTAATGAGTTATAAACTTTCATAGGTAGAATCATCCCTGAAAATTTCAAATGAATCCCTCAAACAGTTTGGCTGGAAACCTGTAGACAAGCCTTCACAGACACAATTTTAGGACGAAAAATCCAAAATGGCCGCCTTAACAATATCCAGAATGCCGAAAAACTAACCAGTTCTAAACTTTCATAGGTAGAAACATCCCTGAGAATTTCAAATGAATCCCACTGCCGCTATGCATAAGAAATATGATTGACTTGCTTGTTTGTAAATAAATGCGAACTGTTAAATTATGTGCATCAAATGCTTCAGAACTAACTTTGTACTGTAACACTAGTCCACCCGCTATGGCTCAGTGGCAGAGAGAGTCAAGGTTACCAATATCGCTTGGCCCCGGGTTCGATTCCGGTTCAGACAAGTTTGTTTGTGCATAATGTAATTCTGGGTGTTTGACTGAGTGGTTCACGACTCGTATAAAAGGCTGTGGTGTGTACCTGTATGTCTGTGTACCTGTGCACATAAAAGAAAACAGGGGTTTCTGGCTCTATCTTCGAGTGTAAAATACGTAAAATACGGAATATACCAATGAGGTATTGCTTGCCAAATATGGCGGTAACCAAGATATAATAATAATAAACACAGATTTTGTATATCCTTTTTCTTAACGATACATTTGTAAATTATGATTTATTTAGCTATTACTAGTGATTGACCATGCTCCCACAATTTTTTACGTCCCTTAAGTTATATGGATGCTGTAAACGCAAGCCCTGTGGAGGTCTTCACTATATCCCTAACAAACTTCATTCATTGGGATAATTAGAACTGTGAGCCCTTTATACCAACCTCATGTATTCCGAAATGTGCATATGAGTCAAAATAGTAGTCTTTTGAGGTCATTTCATCTGTTGGTTTATCTGTCGAAGGGGCTGCGCCTGTCTCACCATTGGAGACTGGTTTATCATTGGTTGTAGTTGTAGTAACAGCGGATATCTGAAAATGCAAATATGCAAATAAGTTATCCCTGTAATATATTATATTGCAAATTAAGCACATTTTCATAACCATTCATCATATCATCTATATGCAAGATAATAACAACCTTTTTCACACGGAGAACATCAAAGATAGGAATTCCTAATAGCTGTCCCATTGTCACATTATAAATCACTGATTCTGGAACAGATCTCTGTGAATCAATTACAGTTCTCTAACATATATTAGACATTGTATAGTAAGTACTGCCTAAGTCTCTAATAAGTAAAGTAAGTCAATATATAAGGCATACTGAAATCCTAAAACCTTACAGAAGAAATACCAAACATCTTATTGATTTATTGGGATCAGATGTTAAAATGTTCCCAAGCTTTTTCAAATCCCCTGAGCATTAAACTAACATTTACATTACAACAAAACTCAGTGATGATTACCACATTTTTTTCATCAGAAAATTCGAAATGGTCACCAAAATTTATCCAGCATGCCCAAAACATAATCAGATCTTAGCACAAGATTGACTGCTTTTTTACATTTGTAAAAATTTCAAGTTGAACAAGTAAGTGGTTTTCCTAGAATTCGATGACAAGATTCATTCATTCATAGAGCATTTTTATCAAAACTTCTGGATCAGCTCTTGTAGAAATAGGTTGATCCTTTCTAGTATCATGTACATAAAAGATGATACGTAAGAAGCAGCGGCAGTTCAGGAAATCCAAAAGTACCAACAAGAAGGAAGACTGGGCCCTCTACAGACAACTGAGGAAGAAAATCTCTAAAGCCCTAGCCAGCTCACATAACTCCTCACAGGGAGATATGCCGATCACTCAATTAGTACAAAATAAGTGCTAAATTAGCACTCGTGACATGAATGCTCATGAGCGCGCTTTTGCCAGAGTGCTAATTCATTACTAATAGAGTGCTATTTTAGTACTAATTTTGTGAAAAATAAGGGTTTAATTTAGTACCGTTTTAGTAACGATATTTTAAGTAATGATCTAGTGCTACTTGAGCGCTCTTTTAGTACTAAAAGAATTGCTCATTTAGCACTAAAATATTGTTCATTTACTAAATAGTAAGCACTCATTCTAGCTGGGATACAATATTCACATGCTACCTTCAAGAATGGAACAATATGGTGTCTGTCATTTTGTTTCCTAGCTTCAACCCGTTACATGAAATAGCTACAGGAATGGGAATTTTTGGAAAAGTTTAATGATATATTTATCCATGTTTTCGTATAATTAAAATTTAATTTCTTACGTATTCTATATTTTACTTCATCAATTAAATAAAATTTATCAACATTTTAATTTTTGAGTACTATTCTATCACTTGTGAAACATGTGCAATAAATTAGTAGTCATAATATGAGCACTCATTGAGTAATGAAAAATCAATGAAATTAGCACTATTTCATCACTCATGATATATGTACTCATTTAGTACTAAAACATGCAATTAATTAGTGCTCAAAGTATGAGTGCTCATTGAGTAATGAAAAATCAATGAAATTAGTGCTATTTTATCACTCATCATATGAGTACTCATTTAGTACTAAAACATGCAATAAATCAGTACTCATGTCATAAGTGCTCATTTAGTACTAATATTTGCTGAAATGAGTACTCAATTAGCGCTAAAATGCCATGAGTACTATTTTAGTACTCTGCACATCTGTGTACAACAAACTTGTTCAGCTAGGGGTGACCTTGACAGCATTTAATGGTAGAGATGATGCTGAAATATTTGCAATGATACCTGATGAAGATGATCTGCCCCTTGGTGTCAAACTGTCACTTGTTAGAAACTTCAAAGCTTCATATGCAGCCGCCCTTGCCAAACTAGAGAAATATTTAAATAATGACCAGTCTGGTATTGACTTTCTAAAGGCTATCAGAATCTTTGATTACAGAAAGGCCAACACACTTCCAAGGGTTTTGAATAAAACTCAATTTGATCTTGCTATTCCAGGTTTCAGAGACATTCCACTTGGGGAATATAACATCTACCTTCAGTTCAAGGCTGTTGATGCTGTCGAAAGAGAAAACCAACCATCCATTCACATATTCTGGGAATCTGTAAAACATGACCTGCCTGCGATGTACTCAGTTTTTAAGAGATATATATTCTCAACCATCACTTCAGCAGATGCCGAGCGTTCGTTTTCATTGTACAGCCTGGTCTTATCTGAGAAGCGTAAGGGCCTAACTGAAGAAAACATAAAGAAATATGTATTTCTATACTTCAACCTACACGAGTTTAGGAAGGACGAGGTTGAGGAAGTGGGGTTGTGACTCTTGACATGACACTACTTAGATGTAGATGTGTTTCATTGGAATAATAAAAAGTAGTATGAAGCACTGAAGCCATCTTTTCATTTAATTTCTTGTGTTAAATCGATCGCATATTTTTGCATAATTCATCAAAATGAAAATCGCATCAATTTGCATAATATCCAGAATTTTAAAAATTCCATCGCAAATTTGAGATTTTTTTTGCATAAAACTGAGGGGACAGATAATTAGTATTAGAATGAGTATTCGAAAGTATATGAACCGTGAGGAGCTTTCATTTAAACACAGTAAGTTTGCGTGAATTAGTAACTCTATTATCGCTCACACAACGGTAAGCCTTAATAATTTTGGGAATCAAGCATTAAAACCTCGGCTATAAATTGGGCTTTCTAGGCCTAGTTTGACATGAAATTATTGGGCCCTTGGACCATTATAATTTCTTCTAGCGTTTTTTGATTTTGGCAGCATTTCGTTATAATTTGTTCCCGCTATAATGTCTTCTTCTACAGTACCATCCATGAACGAGAGTCCCTTCGCTGGTGTGCCTGTCATAACATTTCAGACAGAGGGTATACTGAAGCTTCTTTTGAATGTCAACCCAAAGAAAGCTTCAGGACCTGATGAAATCCCAGCAAGGATACTCAAAGAAGTCACTGTGGAAGTTGCGCCCCTTCTCCAAATGATTTTTAATTCATCTTGGTCAGATGTAGTACAGTAGTTCCTAAAGACTGGACTCTGGCCAACGTTACAGCTATCTTCAAGAAGGGTGATCCAACTAGTGCTGCCAACTAGAGAACAGTATCTCTTACATCTATACCCTGTAAGATAATGGAGCACATCATCTTCTACCAAATCATGAACCACCTTGATAAGAACAAGATCCTGAAGCATTACCAACATGGTTTCAAAGGTAAGCATTCCTGTGAATCCAAGCATTTCCTCACTGTAGAAGATCTAGTGAGATCACTGGACTTTGATGTCCTGGTACTCGACTTTAGTAAAGCCTTTGAGTATTACGATATCAGGGACAAGACCAAAACATAGATCACAGAATGGCTCATTAAGTTACATAAACGGTTTTTGAAAAACAGTTAAGATCTGCACTTTTAGTCCATACCTTTTATGTAACTTAAGTAAGGTATTAAATCGACGATTCTGTTGTCTTCTGAACTATTTGTTCGCAAATGTGTACATTTTCTAAAACATATGATACTGATACATGTTTGTGAGGATAAATGTAATTGGGATTCTACCTACAACGCGTGAAATAAAGAAAAATAGTACCTTCGACGTTCCGACATTTTGTTACCAAAACGAACCATTGCGGTAACCAGAGTAATCGAGCGGATCACCAGTGATAACTGTTGTTTTTCTGTAGATGAGCTCATTCATGTGTTTGTTCATTATAATAAGAGACTCTGAGCTATCATATTTCAGACATATCTTTTGATTTTAAAATGTCAAACTTTGTACAGTTCTTTTTGCTTTTATACCCCTTGTGCCTACAGCCCTACTCCCAACTGGGCATGAACAACACCATCCATTGATTGCATCAATACTGGATCTGGGTTGTACCCCACCCATGTATAGTGAGATTTAGAGGGGAAGCCTATACAGGGTGTGTCATAAGCGTCGCCCCGAGCGCCTGGGACCAGTTACTTTTGATATGGACCAGTTCACTTTCAAGTCACAAGCCCGGTTGACCATATGAACTGCTCACCAGAATTTGCGTTTTGATTCTAGAGAAGTGTACAGTAAAATTTTAAATGTTAGTGAGTACTTTGAATTTAGAAAATAAGCAATCAAATGACCAAATTGAAACAGTTTATGTAAAAATAGAAACATTTATCCTTACTCGAGTCTCTAGCCAATACTTGGCTAGAGGGGATTTCATCTGGAATACTGTGAACTCTATTTGAAAAAAGCTGGCCGTGGTGTCATAAATTTATTGAATATTTTAAAAAAATCGCCAGATAAATAAATCATTAATCAAAATGGACCCAGCTCGGCTCCTTGATGAGATATGACATGATTTCATCAGGATTTCGTCTAAAATTAAAACAAAATGGCTCCAAGAAAAATGGCGATGTTCGAAAACTGGACGAAAATTCTAAGTTAGCGATCCAGAAGATGTGAACTAATACACTGATCACTTTATGTGTATTTTGGTGAGGTAATAAGACTAAAACTCGCAATTCAAATTGTGATGTGGAAAAATGGCGGACATATGATTTCAAATTTTATGATTACGACATGACCAGTTGTTCATGCAGGAATATATCTGTACTGGAAGGCCACGATACAGTGGCCTTAGAAGAAGGTAAATTTATCGTATCTTTTGTATATTTTAGTTGGTTTTGTAGTTCAGCTAGAGTCCATTTCACTGCTTCATTGCGTCAGTAGAATGGCAAAAATAAGAAATTGTGAGACCATTGTGTAATAATATATGGAAAAGTATATTCATAATGTTCATGAATGACATTTGTATATTTAAGATTTTTTAGTTTTTTGTGCAATAAGCCTGTGCCATCTTGTAATTTGAATAATTTCAGCCATGTTAATCTTATTGAAAATAACATGGCAGAAAAGCATCCAAATATAAGAGGCCACACACTTTATAAGCCAAACTAGAAGCAATCCAAGATATACAAATGTCATTCATGTACAATAGGAATATATTTTTCCATATATTATTGCAAAATGATTTTGATTTCTTATTTATTAGCTTTTACTGACGCAGTTAAACAGTGAAATGGACTCTATTTACTTGAGTCTCTTGCCAATACTTGGCTAGAGGGGATTTCATCTGGAATACTGTGAACTCTATTTGAAAAAAGCTGGCTGTGGTGTCATAAATGTTTGTAGAATTGTTTTCATGGCCTGGGTTCGTCGCTAACATGCTAAATATAAGAGTTAGCTGACATTTGGGAGTCTGACTTACCTTCTAAAGGTTAGAACCCGAATCTTAATGAAACCATATCACCTTTGTTCCGTCAACCATGGAGCATTTGCCACAACATCCAAGATGTAAATCATGGACCGTGAAAATGAATGATTTCCTTGTAAGTTCCGGAAATTTCAATACAAAAAATTACCGAACATATGTGAAAACCGAATATTTGTTCGTTGTTTTCACGATTTACAGGTTCGTTTGTTCTTCAATGTTTTGGTCTATATTATAAAGCATCACCAACAGGTCTTACTCTATTAATCGACTAATACAGCAGACGATGAAAAATGAAAAAGTCGGAAAAGCATTTACACTAATTTCTATCAAATGATGTGTTTATGCATCATCAACGACGCAACAAAGGTGATATGGTTTCATCAAGATTCGGGTTCTAACCTTTAGAAGGTAAGTCAGACTCCCAAACGTCAGCTTACTCTTATATTTAGCTAGTCCAACAACATTAGACCTAGCCTGGGCCTCGTTTCTTATCTGACATGTGTTATGGCCCCGGCTAGGTCTAACCTCCATGATCATTTTGCCCTTGATGCGTTAATTTAATCGTTCTGCAGGTTTCGACAAGCGGAACTAATTAAACCCTGAAACCATGGTAATATTACATAAAGAATGTGATTCAAGCATGCATACATACCTTATGAATACATACGCACCATCCCGTATCCCCCTTAGACCCTATTGATGCATAATTACGGAAAAATATTGGAGACAGGTTTGGAATATAACGAAAATGTCGGTCAGTTTCGGTAACATCGAAATTGCGAATCGTATCAGAAATTAACCGTCATCGCAGCACTGCATTTACAAACAGTAGGTTTGCAATTAATAACTATTTTGCATGTATACACGCGCTATATAAATCAATCAAAGACACCTGTTAACCTCAAAATTTATCTTTTAATGCGAGTAATCGCGATAATAATTATCAATCTATTTGACAACAATTTCGTTTCGCTAGTAGTTTAATTTTATGATCCGGGACACTCGGACGAACAGACAAAATGACGGACATGCGGAAATGTCATTTTAGAGATCGGTAAGTGTAGCCTCATTTTACGAGTATAAATGAACATTTAAGGTGCTATGGAAGTTAACAGGAAATGACAAAACAGGAAGTGACAATTTTTTTGCATTTTTTGAACAAAGATAACAGAGTTCTGTTATGACCTCCAGTCAATTTAACTAGTTCCAAATACCATTTACAGGTCCAGGATCACAATGTGCATGGCCAGAATGACCCTAAACATGAAGAAATAACCTTTTCAGCCCTCTGAAAATGTGACTGAAAAATAGCTAAAAGACGGAGGTAGGAAAGGTCACTGAACAGAATCTTTCGAATTTTTCAGAAAATGTGCCAAATATATTGCTCTAAATGATACAATCTTTCAGACAATTTTCTAAAACTTCAAAGATTGTATCAGTTAGAGCATTATATTGGGCACATTTTCTGGAAAATTCAAAAGATTCTGTTTAGTGACCTTCCCTGCCTTCCTACTTTAGCTTTTTTCAGTCACACTTTCAAAGGGCTAAAAAGGTTATTTCATCATGTTTAGGGTCATTTTGACCATGCACATTGTGATCCTGGTCATGTAAATGATAGGTGGATGTAGTTAAATTGACTGGAGGTCAAACCAGAGCTCTGTTATCCTTGCTCAAAAAATGTCTAAAAATGCAAAAAATTTTGTCACTTACTGTTTCGTCATTTCCTGTTAACTTCCATGGCACCTTAACACAACAATATTGTGTTAAATCGCTTGATGTTATGTGTTTTTATATTATGTCAAGTATCAATTGCATGTTATCCCGGCAAAATGGTCTCGATGGATCCAGAACTTGCATCAAAGGAAAGAATAGTAAAGAGGTTAAACTCAATAACGGCCCCAAGAAAATTCCTAATAGTAAAGAACGCCATTATTGAGTTTAACGACGTTGAACTACTACTTTTTGCAAGGCCTGACTTCGTCGGTAACATGCTAAATTTAAGAGTTAGCTGACGTTTGGGAGTCTGACTTACCTTCTAAAGGTTAGAGCCCGAATCTTAATGAAACCATATCACCTTTGTTCCGTCAACCATAGAGCATTTGCCACAACATCCAAGAGGTAAATCATGGACCGAGAAAATGAATGATTTCCTTGAAAGTTCCGGAAGTTTCAATACGAAAAATTACCGAACATATATGAAAACCGAATATTTGTTCGTTGTTTTCACGATTTACAGGTTCGTATGTTCTTCAATGTTTTGGTCTAAATTATAAAGCATCACCAACAGGTCTTACTCTATTAATCGACTAATACAGCAGACGGCTCATATTTCTACGTAGCATTTCGTTCAGACAAATAGTGGGACTGTAGATCACGCAGTTTCGTTCGTTGCGTACTTCACTTGAAATTGGTAATTTTGAATATTGGCTACTTCACTTAGCTTGGCGGATGTAGAACATTGCTTAATATTCTTTTAATTTTCACACCAGACATGCTTGGTTGACACATCAACAAAGTAAAGTTCAAGGGTCAATGCGCTATTTCGTGATAACTACAACCATGGGCTTTCAACTAGAGTTGAAAGCCCATGCTACAACGCCTTCCCGGATTCAACATTGATGAAAAATGAAAAAGTCGGAAAAGCATTTACACTAATTTCTATCAAATGCTATGTTTATGCATCATCATCGACGCAACAAAGGTGATATGGTTTCATTAAGATTCGGGTTCTAACCTTTAGAAGGTAAGTCAGACTCCCAAACGTCAGCTAACTCTTATATTTAGCATGTTAGCGACGAAGTCAGGCCTTGAAAAAAGTAGTAATATTTAGCAGGTTAGCGACGAACTCAGGCCATGAAAACAATTCTAATAAGACCAAAACTCGCAATTCAAATTGTGATGTGGAAAAATGGCGGACATATGATTTCAAATTCTATAATGATTACGACATGACCAGTTGTTCATGCAGGAATATATCTGTACTGGAAGGCCACAATACAGTGGCCTTAGAATAAGACTACAGTGCTGGTATATATTAATTGATTAGTCGTTTAATTGGCATATTTTCTTGAATTTTAACATTTAATGTCCCAAACTCCCACAAACTGCAGAAAAGTATACCCCATAAATCATATTTACCAAAATGAGTGTCTCCAAGGCTTCACACCAGCGTATGCATAATGCATTTGTCACGAGTTTGAGCTGAAATTTCGCCAAAATGAAGTAGGCCAAGGGTAGTCTCTGCCAGGTTTGTTTATTGTGGTAAGCTTGTAAGTGCTCAGAAGCAAATAATTCATGTGTGCAAATAATCAAAAAAGCTGATTGGTTTAAACTTTGCTGCACATGCGCACAATGTGTGCCATGTTTTTTTCTAGTGATTTCGTTTCGTTTCATGGAGTTTGCATTTCAGTGTAACTTCCGCAAAAATGGCGGACCATGGACAGAATTAACAGGTAAAATCACTTCCAAATTTCAAGAGAAGTTTTTATCTATAATAGCAAAACTTTTGTATTATTTGTGCATTCTATCTATCAGATAAGAGTTTCAGGGGTATGTAGGCAAATTCATTTTGGTAGGAGCACTCTGTTTAGTTTGAAAACGCACCCTTTATTATTATATATCAGCACTTTATATCTGTGTCCTCTTATATTTTGATACTTCTCTTTTTTTTCGGAAAAATTAACATGGCTGAAACTCCCTAAATTACAAAAGGCCACAGCTTTGCTGCACATTATACATTACTATCTTATTTTTTAAATTCAAAGTACTCACTAACATTTAAAATTTTACAAAAAATCCCACAGTCGTGACAGTGCCAAAATTTATCCGTTGGCTTGATGATGAACACAATCAACTGACATGATTATGTTCCTAAGGGATCTTGTTACACCGATAACCAATTTCCAGTAAATGAAAAAATCATCCATCGAGATACGCCGCATAAATATTCTTTTACAATACTTACTTCCATTTGTTCTGCCATTCTTTTCTTTGCAAATCGCACATGGGTGATAATACGTCATCAGATTGCGAGGTACGCATGAATGTATGACGTAGTTCACATTACTCTGATTATTTAAAATATAAGTATTTCCTAATGTACAGATGTACTGTAGCATTACTCGGTCTATCAAGAGGTGAATATTAGACTCATATTCAGTGCGACTATCAGATCCAGGTGAGTTAGATTCATAGGTTCAGTTAGATTTAGGGGCTACCATAAAACTTAGAGACTGGCCTAAAAATATTTCATTTCCGGTTTTTTAGACCACTTTACAGGAAGTTGTATCAAGTTCTTATAGGTCCTCTAGGTGTTACTACGGTAAATACCACTTCCGGGTAGGAGAATTTTTTAAGGACAGGGTGCATGTTGGGAAATTTTCTGCATTCCTCAATTGAGTCACATGTTATTTTTCAAACATGAATAACTCCTTCCCCACATTGTCTACATCTTCCAAGTTTGCACAAAGAGTGCACTTCTGTGCCTAGAAAAGCCTTGTGAGAAGGTTTGTTTTGTAAAATGTATAAAAAATGAGAAAATTCAGTGAAAAAAATTTCTGAAAATTTTCTGATTTTTTTCACTGAATTTTCTTGTTTTTTATACACTTTATCAAAACATTCTTCTCACAAGTCTTTTCTAGGCACATAAGTGCACTCTTTGTGCAAAACTGGAAGATATAGACAATGAAGGGAAGGAGTGATTCTTGTTTGAAAAATAACATGTGACTCAATTGAGGAATGCAGAAAATTTCCCATCATGCACCCTGACCTTAATACAAAAGCTTTGGAAATTACATGCTATCGCACATGTGATAAATTCTTACCTCAGTGTATTAGTGCTCTATTTTCTCCGTCCTAGGTCCAGATATAGTGGAATTCGTGTCCATAATGACAAATAAGAACTTAAAAATTTGAAGTGGAATTCACATGTTAATGCCTACTCTTCAAATGTTGAGGTGATTTTGGAGCCGGATTACGCAGCAATGTGGATTGGCTCCCAGAATGCAACATGACACGTGTCAATTTTCAAAATGCTGTTCCGCCATTTTGAAATCTGTAACGAGTAAATAAGGTTACCTGATGTTGCATTCTGGGAGTCACAAACATGGAGATTCACTCCAATGCAGTGTCTCGGTATAGACACTGCGGCGGGCAGATGAAGCAAATTCTCAAAACTTGGGGAAAATAGTTCCCCTTTTCATCGCATATGTGGTCAATTTTCACACAACTTATAAAATATGTATTCATGAATGTTCCCCAAACATTATTTTGTCAAAATATTTCAAAAATATTGAAATATGAGAAGAAATCACCCCGGAAGGAATTCTGAGTAAAAGTTTTGTTGATAATAGTTTACCGCATGTGTTGTTTATTAGTTAATACGCGCAATTCAACCAATGAAACTGTCTAAATTTTACAATCACGCGACCTGAGCATGGGACTAGAACCAATCACGTCAGTTGTTTATTACGAAGTTACCATGCTTACGGTGAGATATCTGCCCGCCGCAGTGATATATCACTGCACGGGAGTTCGGGAGATTCATGAAAACATTCGTTCGATTTGGTAGGGATTTATCCATCATTTGTAGGTATGAAGCTTTTGATTCATTTATTGTGCTATTTAGAGTGAACGGGAATTATTTTTCTACCTCTTAGAATTTAGCTCATTGTGACAACTTTTGGTCTCCGACTGTACATTGTCTTCTTAGTAAACCTGGCAAATCCAGGATGTTCAGATATTTCATGGGCTTTCAAGAGAAAGGTAGGCAACTTCACATAGGGTTAATTCCACAGATAAATGCTCTAATACAATCCAATGGGGAAACATTGGAATCTTCGGAATGATTATGAAAAAACAAGGATTTTCGTAAAAATCTTATTTTGTACATTTCATGTATGGTTTAAAAAAATACTCAAAAATAAAAACATGATAATCTACATACACGTTGATAATTTAATACAAAATGGAATTCATCATAATTATGCCAATAATGAAAGAGAATTCATTCTCTGAAAATTATGTATTTATTGGAATGTGTTCTTGAATAATTACCCACAATGCAAATCTTGAAGGAACATTTTGATACCCTTTTTTTCTTATTGCTTACTTTTACATGAGATAAAAGATGTTTTATGCTTTAATCATATATTGAAAATTGATTTTTATTCAAGATGATACTAAAACATATACGTATCCATGCCTGTAGCCAGGTTTTGGTTAGGGGGGGGCTCAAACCCCCCCCCCCCCATCCACACACAAAAATGTTTTCATGCTTAACCAACTTCGCACCAACAAGGGTGTTATTAACAAGTTTGTTTTTTTAAATATATCTGGTCAGGTAACAAAGGTGTGTATAAAGAAGAAGATGTAAAAGGTGTAGTAGAATGTATTAAAAGAAATACATGTATATTGATACAGGGCAATGCAAAGGGAGGTCTAAATATGATAGATGTGAAACATTTTCAAGATGCTTTTGCAATTAAATGGATTAAACTTCTACTTGATAGAAACAAAGCAAACTGGAAAAAACTACCAACCTATCTTATTGACAAAATTTGTAAAGATTTTCTAATTTACTGTCTAATGTTGAATTTAATCAGGTAAAAGGACTAGATAGAATTAAGTCCTCATTTTGGACAGATGTGTTGAAAACATGGATTATGTATAATTCAGTTAAAAGTAGTCCATATATATCAAATAACAAAGACTTGTTGTACAAGAACAATCCTTTATATTTTGATAACTGGCATCAAAAAGGTGTGTATAAAATAAATGATGTATGTAATGTAAACAATGAACTATTAAGCTATGATCAAATTGGGCAAAAAGTAGGTTTTAATGGCCAGACTTTTCTTCAATACAATTTACTCAAAGGAGTTTTTAACAAGTTAGACAGAATCAAGGTTGAGGCATTAAAAAACAGTGAAAGCAAAATATATTTTAATTGTATTCCTGTACAGAAAATCAATGTGCAATCAATAAGAAAAGGGTTTGTAAAAAACAGTTTAAAAGAATCCAAATCAGAAGAGTATTGGTCTGAGCAGTTTGCTCAAACGGATTTCTCAGATTTTTACAAGATTTTGTTTAAATGTAACATTAGCAATAATGTTAAAGAATTTATATTTAAATGTTTTAATGGAGCCATATGGACAGAAAAAAAATTACAAAAAATTCAGAAGTCAAATGGAATTTGTAAAATATGCAATGTTGAAGCAGAAAGTCATAAACACTTATTTGTCAATATTACGAATGCAAAGGAATATGTAAATACTCAAAATTTAAAGTTTTCTGAACAAGAAATTTTATTTTATAGCAATGAAGGAGATTTTGAGAGCAAATGCCATAGAAACCAGCTAGTGTTTAAACACAAGTTTGAAATTTGGAAAATTAGAAATAGTAAAATCTATAACCAATAAGTTCTGTATTCCTGTATAGGTACCAATGTAACCATTGTATATTATGTAAAAATTGTATAAATGTTTCAATGTTAATAAATTAATTTAAAAAAAAACAAAAAAAAACAAGACACCAGGGGTGGCCACGAAAACAAGGGAGGGGACCAAAAAATTCCGCGCTTGCACAGAAGAAAATAAGGGCCCAAACTTTGAAAAATGCTTAGTAATTCCCTAATGTTGTTAAAAATGACTAGTTAGTTGATTTAGACGGAGCAAAATTATCATGGCCTGTGAAATAATAGCTTGTGAGTGATGTAGGCCTAGCCAGAGGGTGCATGCTCCCCTGAAAAACTTAGGAGTTTTGGGCTTATAACCCTACTATCACACCAAACTAGTTGTCACTACGTTCTCGAAAACGGCCTCAACTGTGTACGAACAGACTGGACGTAAGTACTGTTTTGGGTCTATTTACAAACTTCATCGAACATACTCGAACGGGTAGGTCCTCTAGAACTTAGAACATGCTCAAAATGTTCTCGTGGTCGATACGTTCTACAATTAGAACCAGTGACAACGTACTAAGGACGAGCTGGACGTACTACGAACGGAACCGTCATACTTCAATCCCACTAGGGACATTTTAACAACGAGTTGAACTGTCTGAGGACGTATTGAGAACGAGGTAGAACTAATTGCAAACGGGTTTAAACTGATTAAGAACGTATTTAAGATTGCTTATGAACGAGTTTGCAAAAATATAGCTATCACACTAAACAAGTTGCTACTGCGTTCTTCAAAACTGGTTTTAAACTGTGTGCGAACAGAATGATGTAGCTGCAACTTTCTAAGGTCTATTTACAAACTTCATTAACGTTCTCAGACAAGAATGTGATTTTAGAATTTTGAAATGGTTCAAAATTCGATGGTGACCATACCGTACTGAAATTAGTTTGTGTGAACTTACTTCAAACGAGATGACCTAATAAACTTGGAACGTAATTGCCGTACTTTGACCCTGCTAGGGACGAGTTAACGACGTTGTGCAATCGGATATCAATTTGTAGTGCCTGTGCATACCGACATGGTGCAACCTGAACGAACTAGGAATGAGATGGACGTATTGAAGACTGTTTATGAACGAAGATGCTAATTATTTTTGACATATTTCACGACCACAGCCAGACTTAGCTCGTTTTACGGATTTTTCGTAGAACTGAAAAGAATGGTTGAGAACTAGTTTGGTGTGATTGGGGCCTTAGTGCGTTCTGAGCATTTCTAGGATCAAAATGATTTACATATTTCAAAAAATTGAATCTTTAGGCATTTTCACAGGCTGGTATCGAAAGATTTGTCCGCTGTGACGGAGCATGCTATTTTTCATGAAAACACTAAGAATGCTTCACGATTTATTTTTTAACTCATATGTTTCGTTATATCAAAGATAATTACTTACTCCATGCAATGGATATATCATTTGCGTGTAACCTTCACATCTGTTTGAAGTCCAATAACGCTAGGAGTAAAATCTATTGAAAACGGCGCCAGAGTATCAAACTCTAAAATGTACCATTTCTTTATTAACTTTTTAATGGCATGATATAGTGACACGATAATATTAACATATGTTTTCAGCATAACTCTGAATGTATTAATGAGATATTAATGCATTGGGTCTTTTTAATTTTTTTCATAAAAAATGATATTAATATTTTTCGTCCGCTGTGACGGAGCATTTTCACAGTTCACATTTGCAACTGCTCCGTCACAGCGGACAAAAAAA